GTGTATGTACTGTACTATCTCGAAAAGAAGCCTATGGTATCTTGAAAAGAAGCCCATGGGCTGTACAGTGTATGTACTGTACTATCTTGAAAAGATACCATAGGCTTAATTAAGGTTAATTTTGCAAACTAAATAGAGGGAGACTTCAATTTGAGATGAGCTTCATCTGTACTAAGCCCATTGGGCTTCAAATTCAAGGTTTTACGATATTCTTGTCTGTTAAGGCAAGGCAAGTACTATGTATCTGTGATGAAAGGTGCTATAGGACTACAGAAGGAGTGAGTGAATGAATGAAAAATGTCCAAAGCAGAGCAGTGACTGTATAGAACATTTAAGCATCCTCAACAGTCAAACTGCCTTTCAATTCAAATTAATTTATTCATCTTCAAAAACACATGCAAATCCAAGTAATAAGATGACTATTCCTCAAAATTCATTTATTATTATTTTCCTAAAAAATGTGTGCTGCTCAATTAATGATTAAGATGACATAAGAGAGTAAAAATACAATCAAACTTACGGATCAAGAACATAGTTATATTGACCTTCAGGACTTCTTTCTTGTTGATAGGTCAAATTATAAGCTATCATTGTACTGACTAATGATGTCATTTGCTGCTTTTCTAAGGTGTTAAACAGCTGTGGGTTGACCTATATGGATAACAGATGAAACATCACATTAAATATGCTTGTAGAAGCATGTGACATATAAAGAATGTAGTGAATATGGAAGAATTAGTGCAGTTAGAAGAATGTTGTGCAGGTGGAAGCGTGTGACACAGGTAAAAGAACGTGGTGCAGGTGGAAACGTGTGACCAGGTAAAAGAACGTGGTGCAGGTGGAAGCGTGTGACACAGGTAAAAGAACGTGGTGCAGGTGGAAACGTGTGACCAGGTAAAAGAACGTGGTGCAGGTGGAAGCGTGTGACACAGGTAAAAGAATGTGGTGCAGGTGGAAACGTGTGACCAGGTAAAAGAACGTGGTGCAGGTGAAAGCGTGTGACACAGGTAAAAGAACGTGGTGCAGGTGAAAGCGTGTGACACAGGTAAAAAAATGTGGTGCAGGTGGAAACGTGTGACACAGGTAAAAGAACGTGGTGCAGGTGGAAGCGTGTGACCAGGTAAAAGAACGTAGTGCAGGTAGAAGCGTGTGACACAGGTAAAAGAATGTGGTGCAGGTGGAAGCATTTGATACAGGTGAAAGCATATGACACAGGTAAAAACATGTGGTGAATGTGGAAGCATGTGGAACAGGTTGAAGCATATGAAACAGGTAGATACATGTGGTGCAGGTGGAAGCATGTGGCACAGGTAAAAGCATGTGGTGCAAGTAGAACAGGTAAAGCATATGAAACAGGTAGATACATGTAGTGCAGGTGGAAGCATGTGATACAGGTGAGAAAGCATGTGACACAGGTAACATGCGGTGGAGGTGGAAGCATGTGACAAAGGTAAAAGCATGTGTTACAGGTGGAAGCTCAAAGATAATAACTCCCACAACCAGTGGTCCCAAGATGGAAGAAGTCACTACTGGGAGATCTGGTTAAATGATCTTTCTTAACACCGATTTGCATGAGAAAATTGATAAAATTTATCAATTTTACTTTATGATACTTTATGTTACTTTATTCAATAAAGTAATATGATTCTATGGGGATCGCAATGGCACGGCTCGCAAGCAACTGATCGTTTTCAATGAAGATCAATTCAGACCGTCACCGACAATCTGCAAACAGCTTCGCGTCATCTAGCGCTCACTGTGAACAGAGTTGGATTCGTCGGCTGATGGTCATACGATGCAGTTAGTGCAGTGTACTGATTGTACAGCTTACCGGTCGGAATGAGGGCTGGATGATAGTAAGCAGTGGTGGTAAAACTTGCATGATAGCGACCTCTTTGTTCAAGTTACGTTTGATGTATGGCGACACTTCATTGCATAGACTGGTGAGCAGGTTGGTAGTTTTGGCCATTTTCTGCATATTCTGAACAAATAAAAAAGGATATTTGTTTAGAAATTCTTGAACATAGACATGAAATTTTTTCCAAAATCAGCTTGTATTGAAGCACCATGCACCATTCTTTCTTTTTTTTTGAATCCACCCCTGGACAATCCTACTACAAGTGTTAAAACCTTAATTCGACAAAAAAAAAAATTTTTGAAAGAAGAGTAAATGCTTGGTAAGGGTGAAAATAGAGAGATGATAAATGCAGTAGTTTATTCAGTCATTGGTAAGTTTTGTACTTAAAAAGTCTGATGTGAAGAAAAACAAAAATGACAGACAACAATAAAAGTACAGAACTTACCAATGACTGGATAAAGCATGTCATGGTAAGTTCTGAACTAAGTCTTGGATGTGAAGGAAAACAAAAGTGACAGACAACACTAAGTACAAAACTTACATATGACTGGATGAAGTATGTGTCATTGGTAAGTTGTGTATTAAGTGTTAGATATATAGGAAAACAAAAGTGACGAGTTTGACAAAGCACTGCTCACCTCAAAATGTGCTGATGGGTAATGGATCTTATTCGCAGCATTTGACGCAAACATCATATGGAACACAACAGGCACGTAGGGTAGATATCGCATTAAGATGTAGCTTTGCGTGTGCAAAATTTCTTTGTTTAAGACATCATGGAAAATTAGCCAATCACAAGCATGGTTAACCTGTAAAAAAGATTCAAATTATATAATAAACATAATTTTATTAACAGCAGCAACAAGAACGATAAAAATACTAAGACAAGACTTTCTTTATACCTTGTTTAGTGAACCTGCTGCCCACCAATAATAATAATTTCGAATAAAAATAAAATTTTATTTTTGTCAAGTTAGCGCACCAGCCACCACAAAAAAAATTGAAATTTCAGATAAAAAAGGTTTTCTTTATTTTTGTTACATATAAACAATATAGTATTAGATGCTATTAATTGTAAATTTCACTTTCTGCTTAATCTGTAAATAATTATTTGTATTTGGTCAATGATATCTTAATGTAAAGCATTTATAAAGTTGTGAAATATTCAGTTTGTTAAATGTAAACATTTTTCAGTACAACAGACATACATACCGCATCTAAGTGCGAGTCCTTAAACTTCACCTCCAAGTAGTTTTCAAAAATACCTGCAAAATTCAAGTTAACAGCAGCATAAATATTTTGCATTTTATAAACCTGGGTTGGACGATTCCATTATTTTTGAGGTAAGCTAATAAAAGTAACTGGCATATATTGGTTCATGCACAAAATAGATAGCAGCATAAGTTGGCTTTTAGTAGTAATTGTGTGTACATTGAACATTGAGAGATCTCTGGCTGAAATTCAAGTTACAAATGGATCACACCACCAGGCAGACCACAATTCAAATATGTTTCTAATATTCCTCCATGATATGGGAAAGCCTCATCTAATCTTTGGTATGTGAAAAGAAAAAGAGGATTATACCCTACAGCACATGGGATGGATGACTCCAAATTTTCCACATTGAGAAACTTTGTTTATCCAGTAAGACTTCAACAAATTCAGTAGACTTGATTGTAATAGCAGACTTGCAATACAAATGATAATGGACTCCTATAGCACTTTATGCAACAAAAATTGTGTCAAAGTGCTTAAAGACAATGTTTAAAAAAAAATTGAAAAACTTAACCATAAACTATTCTAAATACCTGATAATAACTTGTCATAGTCTCCGTTACTCAGCACTGCTTGTAACATGTTGTTAAATCTAGATGAAGGGGAGGCTGGATTGAAGTCTACATTGTCTTCTGCTGATACTTTTCGTTCGACACCATTTTTATCAACGTCGTGAGGGTTTACATAACGCTTTCTGATGAGATGATAATTGTTAACAGTTATACTGTATATTTTTACGTGCAAAAGATGTAGAAAATATTAAGAAAAAAGGTGAGTTTTCTTCACCAAGTCAGCACCCAAACCACTGTATGTTGATACAACCTTATGGCTGATCGAAAATATAATCTTGGCCAGCACCTGGTGCTCACTGGATTTCGACATGAAAGTTATGGAAAGTTTTAAAATAAGAAATATATCCTTTCCCTGCCAATGCAGATGGGGACATGGAAACAATGAATTGAACTTGGATTAAGTTTGACGAGAGTGATGTATATATTTTGGTTTAATAAAAAATAAAGCTATCTATGAATATTTATACCGCTATAGATGAATCCAAGTAGAAAACTGCGCTCTCTATTGGTGCCGCCATTGCTGGGACCTCCTTAGGGTCACCCGCTTGTTTCTCACGTCCATGTACAGTAGTCCAAAGAAAGTAAGATTGGAGCAACATATTCTGCGTACAATTATACAATATGTACATTTGTAGCAGGTGACCAAAAGCCCAGAGCTATGGCATCTGCAACAGTGGGGGCGGAAGTGGGGAAGCAGGGGACTTAAGCTCCCAATCAGACAGGTCAAGTCCCCCTCCACCCCCACCGGCCAGAGCTCGTCGGGCAGTCGGACCAAAAAAAAAAAAAAAGAAAAAGGCTTATGCCAAGCTAACACATGTCTGTCACACTCTGAGAGTGCCATTTCCGGCCATCCAGAGGTCCCCCTTCAAACAGGTTAGCCCCCCACCCCCCAAAAAATATATCGTACAGCCGCTACTGATCTACAGAGAGATAATAATCACTGATGTAAACGGGTCGGCCTATAATAATCCTACTAAACCTACCTCTGTGGCCTTGGCATTGCAAATGTGTCCTTCCAAAGTGTGAATAACCCTTTGTGCTTGTCTTTCTGTCCTATGTTCATTGAGCTGACCATACTCAAGCTTAACCCATTTCCTTTTGTTTGTATGAACTAAAAAATATAACAAGCAATTTGCAGAAACTTTTTAATTTCTGTACAGAAAAACAACAGTAGTACTATCTGTATTAATAATTTCATATTTTACAGACAGGTCACTTCAAATATTTCTCATTAGGGTTCTAATGGATATACAGTATATTGTATAATTGATCATAAACATCATCAATACTAATCATAATCATTATCATCACAATACTAAACATTATTATGCATAATCAACATCACTATCTCACCAAATCAACATATTAAAATACTATCATAATCATCATAACTCATAAATCGGCACCATCATCATTATTATCATCATTACACCATAAGTATACTAACTGTGCATCACCATCATCAGCAATCACAAGTTCATCATCGCAGCAGTCAACATCACCATTAAGATCACCATATGAGCCATATGTAAACTGGAAAAAAACATTTTTCGCCACCCCCACCATTATAAACCATTATATTATATCATCATATAAAAATCATTCCACATTTTCATTCATCATAAAAGGCAGAATAATCGATAAATTGCAGTGTCAATGTGCTGAATTGCATATGGGTGTGGTCCGTGACTATCTAGCAGTCATGCTTATAGTAGCTACATGGGGCTGAAATGAACCATAAAATCAGGGTAACCCCCTACTCTTCCGAAAGATGCAATGGGTGTTTTAAAGTGCACACGAGCCAGATGTATACACTGGACGTCCATTTTGAGTCCATTTAAAATCATAATCATAATTATGATTTTAAATGGACTCAAAATCATAATCATAATTAGCATGGATGGATGGATTGTTTTGGTGTAAACACCAAGAATAACCCACCAAAGTCTGAAAAAGAATTATTTCCAGTGGTGATTTGGCAGTGCACCAGGAGACAATCCCCTACTCATTTCAAAAGCGTGTACTGCGTTCTTTACATACAAGTAGGGCATAATGCACACGGGACCAACGTCTCATCCGAAAGACGGTGCGCTTCGTAATTTGCATTTCAGCCCTCCGGCTGATATACAAGTAGCAGCGATGGGAATTTGTGCACACATAACTGAACTAAGCTGCTCTCGTTTTGGACAGATTCTTAATGATCATCTCAGTACAACACCTTCAACAATGTCTTAACAAACATACTAATAATCCTCATCATTAACAAAATAATCATCACCCTCATTCATTATCATTCATCAAAATGAAAACAATTTGTCAGCAAACCTGCAGAGTGTTTAGACAGGAACGGATGTCATTTTCAGTTTTTTGGCAAAGTGTCATTAGAGTAGTCATATCTGTCTTCAATGCATTATTTGTTGCAATCTACATTTGACAAAAAAAAAAAAAATATTACTATTAGCCTGAATTACTGTATGTGAAGATCCAAGCTGCCAAGCAGATTATAACAACCATAGCCCCACTACACATTGCATTCTGTCGTGGATATTGTCGCTAAACAAATCCTTGTTGATTGAACAAGCATCTTCCCAATGGTTCGGTGAGCAGAACACACAAGGGGCATACAGACACTATCAACATCTACTGATATACTTTTGGCTCAATTAGGGTTTATTGTATTGCACTCAGACATTAGGGTTACATGACCATAACTCGTTCTAATTCTATTCAGTTGCTCATCAGCACCCTAAGCGTAGTACCTAACCAAGTGCTGTTGTCATCGCAATAATATTATTTTCATAATTGCTATTGTTTATTTTAAGTTATTTAAAAGTTAATTTTATTAATATTTTGTTTATAATAATTCAACGAATCATTGGTATGTATAGATTATCTTTTTAATTGTACTTTTAAGTTTATCATTTGGTCAGATTATTTAAGTATTTAAAATAAGGTTACTTGGCTCAAGGTGCATCGACATGGTTGTGTTGGGCTGTCAGGACCATGGTGTCCCTCTTGGCACCCATCTGGCTGTGTGAATTGAATATTTATTGTAGAAATAATGATGGATACTAACCTGCATGAGACGTGATGCTAAGCGTGAAGCGACAGTTGGAGGAAAATGCGACACAAAAGCTATTTGCCGTAACGGTCTAAGTGCTGGAACATACCTAAAAGATGAACAAAAACATGTGACACGCCTGAATATGGTCATGATGACATCACATCATGACCATATATAGGCACATCATGACCATATATAGGCACATCATGACCATATATAGGCACATCATGACCATATATAATGGACATTTAAATTATTTTTGTCAAAGAAAATTTGATTACTATCTACACAGATTTATCTTTTTTTCATTTTACTTATTATGAGGATGATTTTTCAAATTAATTTTGTTTATCTGTCATTCTAATTAATATCCATTGTATTATAAATTAGTAAATAATTTTTTATATTAAAAGATAAAAGTCAATACTGGGGCCAAAATATGCAATGTTGTGGGGTTCATGCACTCCTCCCACCCCTGTGGATAATTAATAATTTTGTTAAAGGTAAATTGTTAAGTAAGTTTATGTTCACAACATTTACTATGAAATTGACAATTCAAATATATTGAGCATATTGATATTGTGTTTTACATTTTAAGGTTAACCTGTTTGAAACATAACCATAAAAGTGTTTTATTAGAAGCATTATTATCATTTCATAATTATCAGGGGTGCAGGCTCTGGTTTCAGCCTGGGGTTTGCAGGAGGTGGTGCAAAAACTGAGAATATGGAACTGAATCACTATTCCAATGAAAACTTAATGGTTATTTTTAGTATTTTAACCCACTTAGTGGAAATTTTTTGGCACCTCTGCCAAAAAATATTATAGTTATAATAAATATCAACAACATAAAAATGATTAACTTCTACTTACAAGTCATTACATATGCAGATAATAGGACGAAGGAGGACAGACTGCCCCTTCTTTTTCTTCTTCTTTCCTGCTTCAGGACCTTTCACATAATCAATAAGAACGTTTATTGTGGCCTGAGGAGAGTAAACAATATTGAATTCAAAGATTACTGGGAAGGCTTACTTCAAATCAGAGTTCCATACATCTTCTTTCTTATCTTCTGCTTTCTCAAAATGGGGTGGGGGGTGGGGTGTGCACCTTCCTCCATCCTCAACGTTCGCGACAGTTCATAAATTAATTTTTAGTTTCAAAGCGCTTAAAGATGGTTTTTACGGTGGAAGGCGCTATAAAAATACATGACCATTGATCCATATCATATTTCAATTTTTAGGTCATATAGAAATATATGAATATAATGTAAACATAGGTAATTAAACCATAACTCATAGGCTTGCAGCTTCATTGTGCTGAATTGCGCATAAGTTAGTGAGTACCATAGCATCCGTAAAGCAACACTCTGTAATCACATCCATCCACAAAACCCCTGACGCTAAAGTGAAACACAGCATCGGTAACCACCCTAATACTTTCCCAATGCAATGGCCCTTTCAAAGTGCACAGATGTGTGCATTAAGCTTTGGTGTTTTGAATCCTTATCTGAGGTACAAACCAAACCATAAAGGCTCCTCTGTCTTCTGCATAACTCGACTCATCAAAAATAATAGAAGAGGGACTAATACAAATTTTGTGAAGAAAAGTTAGAAAACAGTAGCAAAAAAATTGTCTCTACCAATATTTTAATATTTAAAAAGTGTTGTATGACCATATTTAGTCATGTAAACTATATATAGTCATGATGTGATGTCACATGATTCAGGCATGTCACATGTTTTGTCAAATAAAATTTGATAGTCTGGAAAGGGCTTCAAAACATGTTAGTCACAGAAAAAAAATGTATTAAATACTCACAGCTGGTGAACCATCAATCTCATCGATCACCATGCAATTAGGCCGATTATCTCGACTTAATACCGACTGCATCTGTGTGGCCGACTCTAGTTTTCGCTTGAACACGTCTTGGCTTCGATCATCACTGAAAATAAAATCAAATAATTTTTTTTTTTCAATAAGACATAACAATTGACCACTCAGGGACTGTTATTCATTGGCCAATAATATGTGCATGTCCCAAAAAAATCCACTCAAGTGTGCGTATGTTACGATTTTTATGGTTCCAATCCTGAGCAAAAAAATATCCAAGGGGCAATTGTTAGTGGAAGTCATTATTTTGCAATTTTAAAAACATATTTTTTTAATTATTTTTATATCATTTTCTTATGTAAAAAATTGAAAAGAAAATTGGAATGAAGTTTACCTAGCGTTCATCTCAATCACATTATAGCCGGCATGTTCAGCAATTACATGTGCCAACGTTGTCTTACCAAGACCAGGAGGACCACACAACAGCGCCACCTTCAGTTCTGGTCTTTTGTGTTCATCAAATTTTTGCTGATGGTTGCCAAATATACGAAAATTTAAAATATAATAGAAATATTTGAGTTCAATTCATTTAAATAGTTAATTATTACAAAGGACATCATCTTTTAGTATAACAAATCATTTGTAAACCTTTCATTAATTGTATAATTTAGGGGTAAAGGTCTTTGAAACAGTTTAATAACCTACTGGAAAATGTGTCCTTGCACACAACATAAACAGTCATATTTGATGGTACAATAATTCATACTTTTAGCATAATTTCAAATCACATGACTATGGACAAATTCCACTGATTGGTCCATTTCATAATTACCTCACTTAATATCTCTTCTGGTGTGGCTTTAAAGTTATTCTGTTTAAAGTTTCCTTTGAAATTTTGATTCCGTTTTTCTTGTTGATTTTTTTCACGTTTTACTCTTTCTCTCTTGAATACACAGGTGTCCCAGAGCTTCAGCCAGTACAAAATATTCCTGTTCACACCCTGGAATAGAATATATATTTTTTTAATAATAGGTTTTTCATTGACTAACACTCTGTCCACACTATCAAATTTGCTTTCACAAGTAACTGTTGTATGCCCATATATAGTCATGATATGCCTATATATGGTCATGATGTGATGTCATCATGACCATATTTAGGCATGTCATGTTTTCGTCAAACAAAACTTGATAGTTTGGATATGGCTTTAGGTTGATTTTTGTATGGGTGAATCTGTAGTACTTATTTCTCCTTCATTCTTGGCAGTATTACAAGTATTTAATAAATATTAAGAGAGGGTAATCTGTGCTGGAAAGCTGGCAAATCCAGCACTTAAAATCAGAAGGTGCAAGTGAGGGCAGCGCTACAACGAACGTTTCCACTAAGCCCCCTCCCTTGGATATTGCTGTAAAGGTCCCACAAAACGACAGTAGGGAGCGAAGCTAGAACGGAATCACTCATACCTGACCGTCCTACCTGGCGTCCTACGTTCTCTGCATACGCAAATTGCGTTCTAGAATCTACACGACGAGGGTGACCTTAACGTTCTCGCATGCGCAGATGACTTTTAGTGACATCATTACGTTCTACGTCCTACCGTCGTTGTGCAATCGAAAGCTCCCTGGTGTTAAAGCATACGCAAACATCTGCATTTGTGGGACCACACGTTGCTTGTTAGACATGCGCATATTCTTAGCGCTGTTGTGATTGGTCAGTTGTAAAGTTTGATTGACACTCCAGAAATGTCCATTGTGAGCTAAATTGTGTGAAGAATTATTGTTTGTGGTGTGTAGCACTGAGTGAAGGTCATCAGTCAGCTATTAATTAGGCCAGGGGGTTACCTAGGACAACCCCCTAATAATTGCCAAATATTAATAAAAGCAAAAAGGCTTTGTCTTATCAATTAAAACTTCAAAAAAACTCACATCGTCACTTAGCAAGTCTGTGTAGTGCCTGGGTGAATACTTGTCTACCCAGAGTGTGGGTTGTCTCCGGCTTGGCTCCCCATCTGCAGCCTTCTTTTGAAGATTGCTGTGTAAAATATAATTCAATTCCATTCAAATTCATTATAATAACAAAACAATGAACAAAAAAAGATAATTTAGTAAAACATTTACAGCTCAGGATAACCTAAAAAAAAAAACCGAATTGGTTCATTTCCGTTGGTGTCCCTTAAATAAAAAATATTATATAAAAGTTGGTTAAAAACTAAAACAAACATTAAAATTTATTAAAACTTTTTTTTTTTTATTAAAACTAAAATCGAGGTAAGGTATTCCAATCCAGGGCCTACGGTTCCATTTTGTTTTCGAGGGGTGTTCACATGTTTGAGAAAGAATAGGCAATTAGTCGGTTTATCCAGGTAAGTATTCACGAAATAGACTGGACAGAGCTTAACTGTTTATGAATTTGGATCGCAAGAATTAAAATTGCCACATTGCAATGCATTGCATCACTAAATTTAAATTTTTTTTTTTTAGGATCAAACAAATCTTTCAACAGCATCAAAGCAATTAAGTATATAATATTTATTGATCTATTCCAAAAACACAGAATCAATTTGCATTATAAAATCAAAAAATCATTACAAAACCTAAAAAACAAAAGATTGACAATATAAGTCAAAATGGATAACAGAGGATAACCCTTTAAGCTGCTAGGCTCATTTCAGAAGGGGTCATACAGTAATATAAATAATATAGTTATGAATATTTAATTCATTTGATATCAGCCTTGTTCTGCAGGTTTTGAGAAAACAGCTTCCAAAATCAATAGTTTGTTATTAAGACTTGTATTTTAAAAATTATTTTAATATGCTTTTTTAGTTAGATTAAGTGATTGATATTTTGCAAAAATGTTCTTCAATATATCTTCTTTTAAGTTTTTTAAAATTAAAAAACCTGAAAATGTTCCAAATTCTGATTCTCAAATGTTTTGGGTGCTTGTGGGAAATTAAAAATTGCGACAAATGGAGAGTTTTACCAGTGCTGGTCATAAACATGAGATGAACATAAGACACTGACTTACATAAATGCATCTGCTCATCAATAACAAGTTCTTCTTCACTATCTGATAAGCTAGCAAATAATTCATCTAATTCTCTCTCACGTTTTTTAGAATTACTATCAAAATTTGATAAGGAACTTGTTTTAATTTTTGCTCCAGCTGGCAAGCTTTGCCTGATATTTTCATGATTTTGCCTTAAATCGGGTTCCTTTCTTTCATATTGGATATCTGCAAGACAAAAATTAGAATATGTAATTTATTTTTTTGCATATTTACCTGTATTAAAATTTTTAATCAGTATTTTAGTATAAAAGCCTATTTGTACAATTTAACTATGCCATTGTTCTTATTTTATTTCATTTATTTGTCTTAAAAACATTAAAATTTACAAGAATAGAAAGAGCAAGAAACAAGCACGAATGAATATATGACAGAAACTAAATCACTGAACAAAAGGGGGCGCTTCTCAAAAAACATGATAGGGTACTTACAACATAAAGTTTTGTTTAAAGTAAGCCCGTAGCCATGGGTTCGAGGAGTCCAAAAGAAACCCCCTTTTCCAGAAATGCCCTTTTAAGTTATTATTAAAAAGTACCATTTGCATGGAAGTTTGGCATTTTTATTGCCATCTCCAGAAATCTGAGGTGTATATCTTTAAAATTTACCCCAGCCATGGTGGGACTGAGGTGAGTAAGGACTCAAAGTGCCTTTTTAATTATGAAAAATTAGAAACCCCCCACCCCTTTAAAAATCCTGCCTACGAGCTTAGAAAGATGAAACATTCAAAGATAAAAAATCTTTAAAATTGTAGTAAAACAAGCATTATAATAAGTTTGGATTTAAAATATTACATTTTTCCAGTAATAATTTTTTCTTTTTAAAAGTTCAAATTTAAAATGTTAAAATATTTCAAAGCAATTCAGCTATTTATCACCATTGTAAGTCAGTTAACTACCGACCATACTTAGGTTATGTCAGTTTTTCTACCTCATTAATTATTTATTGTAGATTATGTTGGGTTGGATTTATGATGATTCAATACAATTTACTTTTAGGTTTTAAATTTGGCTAGGGGAACATGGATAAAAACAACTGGCCTAAGTTTAGGAAGGAGGGCCTAGCTCTAGGCTGGGGAGGGCCTAACTAAGGCCTACTTAATTATTAAATAAATTTAATTAATAGGCTAAACTTCTTTTAGCCATCGATATTGTACTAGACCTAGCAGGGCCTACTTCTTCTGTCGTATTTAAGCCTAGCTAGGCCTAGGTTTAATTTAGGGCCTAGACTAGGTACAACCAGGGAGTTGTTATAGTGACAACACAGCTTAGACAAAGGTTAGGCCCGGGGCATTAGCGGCCTGCGCTAGGCTAGGAAACACTCTAGGCCTATGCTAGGCTTAGCAAAACCAGGACCCACTAGGCCTAGCGGTCGCGGGGCCGGGCCCCACCTAGCTAGCCCCTAGTAGAGGCTAGGCCTACTAGGCCTAAACGAATAGAGAATAACTACCTGATTCAAAATCTCGCAGTGCATCAAGTTCATCTGCAAACTGAGCTTCAAAGTCATCATACAAGTCATCGGGTTCCATGTTATAATTAAATCAAAAGAATGTTAATATGAAAGAAGAAAGTCAATCCATATCCGAGAACTAAAAAAAAGCAAACAAACACAACACTGTTTTCATCGGTTCCCGGGAAAAAAAAAACGTTGCCATGCAACCTCTCAGTTTTCTACCCAGTTTTGTTTTTTAATGTAATTTATTCTTCTCTTTTTGCGTGTTTGATTTCAATTTTCCCTATTAATTAGCGCATTCATTAATTATATTCATTTGTGAGTCACTTATGTATCTGAATTGAAGAATACATACATTAGAATATTTTAACCACGGCATTTTTCACGAATCGGTAGACATCTTGAAGTGATGACAAACATTGTGAATCAGCGGTGCATAACCAACAGAAATAAGATAAGATTTTGGGCTGACATCATGTTTTTAAAAAAATCATAACTCCATAACGGGGCGTCGTATCCAAAAATTTCCAGCAAAATTTTTTTTAAAGACTAGTCTACACCACCATATGAAAAAGAAAAAAGAAAAGGCTATCTAGTAGTGTATTAAAATAGGACGTATATGCATTACAGTGCAGTAGTACTTGTTATACTCTAGACTAGTATTGTTTTAGTTACCATATGAGAGTTTCCTGTGTTAAAAACATGATTTACTATACTATACTTCTTTATAACACATAACTTGTACTTTTTAATAAGAGAAATCTATATATTATATCGGCCGGGTACCTGAACAGTAACAACACAAAAATAAAATCGCAAAGTCCTAACAAATGGTACAAAACAGGGCTATTTTCTTTTATTTATCAATATGAACCTAGTTTACAGTGCTTATCCGAGAAGACATGTTTCACCACCAGTACCATAGAAGAGTGTGCCGCTCGAACCAGTGGCAGTGCAGATGTTTATCTGTATTAGTTATATCGAGACTGATGTGTAACGGCCGTAAACTTGAGACATGTCCATACTTTCTAGCTGCCTTCCATGGAAATATTAATATAAATATTATAGGCCTAATTTCAAAATTTTTGCAACACAGAAATACAATTTAAATTAGATGAAGTGAAGTCAATTATTTATTTGCACAAACATATAACAGTAATATTTTTTTTAAACGAACTTCTGAATGCCGGATTTTCCAATTCCATATAGGCCTAGGCCTAGTCTGTCTCATTGACACTAGGCCTAGCTAGGCTTAGCAGCTCATAAAGTGCACATAAATGTTTGCAACATTAATTTAGAAAAATCTCTTTCTTTGATATGTACCATTCAACTAAATTTTATCATGATCTATTCTTTCTTTTGGAATAATTTTGCTAACAGCTAGGCCTAACCCGACAGGAAGGCAGTGGTGAATAGGCTACATAACCTTCTTTGGCAGAGTTTCATTGTCCAGCACCACATTAATTAATTATGTGATGATGGCATGATCAGGCTAGGCCTTGGTTTGCCTAGTAAATGAAAGATGATCCATGACGACACTTCATGATTTCAGAATTTATTACAATAGGCCTAAGTGTTCTTACAACATTGTCTTACAAAAGCACTAACCCTTTTGATTATCAAAACAGCTGAGCAGACCGAAAAAAACATGTTTGAACACCCCGGTTATGAGAAATATCTTGCTGTGGGGAGCCACCTATTACGCCTGCTATACATGCTATACGCCCTCTACTACTTTTAAACGTTAGTTTGGTGCAAAGTAGTATAATGAATATTCATATGATCTGAAATATTAAAATATTTTAATATTAAAAAATTCATTTTTAAGTTATTTCTAGTCAGGATGAAGGATTTCTTACACAAATCATTGTAAGTATTATAAAATGAACCTATTATTGGACTTATTAATAGGTCCATGATTATAACATTGTAAAAAAATCACTCAAACTTTCCTATGCCTTGAAAAGAAAAGCAGAAACAACACCAACACGATGCAGAATATTGAATGCACGTGTATATATATATAAATTTTACATCCGTACCGTAGTACCTTCGTCCTTCTTGTTATTGGTCCGATTATGCGTCTTCTGGTACTTGGCCGCATGGGTGTACGTTGCTAGATTATGCCAATGTTCGGAGCTAGAGAGGATATGCCCTGTGCAGTGAAGGGAGTCTCGGGTGGTCATGTGTTCAACTGACAGGCTTCGGCAAAGGTTCAGGGCATTAGCTTAGGGTCAGCTCTGCTTCTTCAGTTCAGTTGGAACGGACCGCTCGGGGCCGGGTGATGTAGCATATATGGTCTGATATGTCCGGGTATGTCCGCGTACCCCTGCATGAATGGATAGGTCTGGCCGCTTAACTGGTGGTGGCGGAGGATGCGAGTCCTGGCCAGTGTGAAAGCTCGTTTAATTTTTTCCATGTCAAATATATACAATGCTAAAAATTAATTTTTGTCTTAATTAATTTTTTTGACTTAATACAAAATTGCAATTTCTAATATAATCAATTTCAAAAATAATTAATTTCATTAATTGAGGGATTAATTAAACAAAAATATTAATTAACATATAAATTAAATATAAAAAATATAAATTAAATGTAAGATAAACAAAGAATTAAAAAAGATAAATAAATACAGTACACAGAATATACTTTACTGGAATTTGGAAGTACAGCCGTTCTCTATAATACCTTGTGATATTATTTCGCTTGTGCATATATAAGGACCCTATTATTATTGTTGTTATTATTATTATTATTATTATTATTATTATTATTATTATTATTTATTTCATTAAAAGACTTTTATTATTATTATTAAAATTAAAAATTAAATTGAAAATATAAATAAAAATGTTTCCAATTGGTTTCTAATTGATTATGATCAATGAAGCTAATCAAAGTCAAATTGTATGTGTCATATTATTATTAAATTTTGCTTAAATTAAAGATGTTAAGCTGTTTATTGTGGCACAAATTGACCCGGGCTAGAACTAGGGATTAGCTACTTTCTTTTTGATGGCTCCAATATTGTCTTTAAAGTTTGAAAAGTCTGTAATTACAGAGGGCAGCAACCATATTTTAACAAATGTCACACATTATTTTCAAAACTTTTATTCATAGTACCGTTTTCCACTTTTTGGTTTTATTTATTCATTCAATTCATTTTTAAATTTATTTATTGAAATAAGTTAATCAGTGTTTTAGTATGATTTTGTTTAAATTTCAGACATTACAAATACATTTCAGACGTTTAGCACCTTTCAAAAAGGACCATAACAATAGCAAAATTTAAGCCCTGACATCGGTAAATATCAGTCTACCGCCCTCTATTTTAATTGAACTGATACCGGCACATATCAGTGTTTAAGCCCTGACATCGGTAAATATCAGTCTACCGCCCTCTATTTTAATTGAACTGATACCGGCACATATCAGTGTGCCTCCCTCTATAGTATTTTCTGCTAAAATACCACAATTTCAACCGAGTGGGGTACGGATACCAAATATTATATTATATAGTATATAATACAGTAGTAGCCTAGTTGTTACAGTTAATGATGTTGAATATCGTTTATAGACTCGTTCAAATGAAAGGAAAGAAAATATTGTCTAACATGTGGATTGCATAAGCGTTTCTGAAACCAACATTTCATTTTGACTCATTCAAAAGTTTGTCATCAGTTGTTAAATGAATATCATCCTCGCTTGGTGCACCGTTGTGGTTTGCATCAGTCTACATCGCCCTACGGAAGCGGTACACTCGACCGAAGCGAGTGCAAGACCCGAAAGTTTCCCAGGTAGGTTAGGCCTAGCCAAGCTCTTGCTATCTAAGGTTAAAGCAGGGTGTTAACAAGGAGGTATAAACATTTCCTCCTTGATGTTAAACAGAGATTTCTCTAGTCTTAGTACTCTTATCTAGGCCTAGTTTAGGTTAAACTTACTCCCTGGTTAAACCATGATGGTAATGTTAAGACAATCAAATCATGAATTGCATAAACCTCTGCTTTCTTTAAATTAATAAAATCTCTACCACCACAAAACATATCATCTTCATTTGCAGCTTATAACAAAGTTTAACTCGTATCCTTTTTTTTAGTTTGAGTGATTAAAGTCAGGGTTGATCCATAATTTTCAGTGAGAAGCGCTGATTTCAATACAGTAAAAACTAAAACATTGATATGCATTGAAATTTTAAAATTTAGTGGCAAAACGGGGCGGGGGACACGTCCACCTACAGGATCTGCGCCTGAAAGTCAATAAATCACATCAGTTGTTTATACGCGAGGAATAGGCCTAACTGAGATCAGAAGAACCATGTGAACTTGATTTTTTTGTCAACCAATTAAAAGATACCACTTCATTCATAAAAAATTAAATAAATTTAAATGCTATAAAAAATGAATATAACTTTAAATTACGCATATAGCAGAACCACATAAGTTATCAAATCTTCCAACAAGTTTCAGATTGAAGAAAACCAATGATTTACAGATGTTTGACTGCAAACATTTTTAAACTTACTGCCTGAAATATATGGGTTATTGGAAACTATATACATTTAATTGATGAGATAATGAAAGCCAAACACATTGAAATAACAAAACTAAAACTTTCAAGTTGTCACACAAGTACAAATGTTTTGATAGTATATTATTGAAAATGAAACTACTGTATTGATAACCGCACACATTACAATAAGTAGACTGATGCACAATTTTATTAATGTTTCATAACTGTAATTTTTATTTCTTTGTCTTTATTCGGGTATTAAGTAAAATTTCCACGATCTGAAGAGATATGTATTTAGTAATACATTCATATTTGGAGCCAATGCATGTAAAAAAAAAAAAAAAAAATATCTTATTTAATTTCATTTAAACCATGGTTATTGAAATACCTTGTTTCTTCTCAGTATTTGTTGAGGGTAAGGTTCATGTGTCTAATGATGGACCCACTATCCTGGGATCGATTGCAACCTTTTATGCAAGACTTCTTGACAATGATGGCAACGACTTGGAGTCTGGAGAATTTCTCTTCATTTGGCAAGACGAGTCTTACTTTGAATATGAAGATTTATCAAACACAACTTCAAATTTTACCTGGAAGTATTCTAAAGACAAAGCGATTGGAGAACATACTGTACAGTTAACTGTCTATTATTATTATCTACTTAAACGCTATGCAGACAGTACAACATTCATTAATATCACAGGTAATATTGGCCGTATTAGGCTGGTCGTTCTTCGTTAAACCACGCCCACCTGCGCAGTGGTAAAATCCTACTTAACGAAGACGACCGGTCGAATAGAAAACTGTTAGATACTCGACAAAACAAAATGGCTGCATAGTTACCGCGATACACGCTGCGTAATCAAGGCTGCTTCAGATTGTGGCAGTATGGGTTTTTCGTAAAAAAATGTCTTCACCCAGTTTCTGAATTCTGTTAGCCTACAATATTTTTTGACTTATGTAAATTTTATAATTTTGATTTTCTGAAATTTAATCTAAATTATATTAAGGCTAAATTATTATATTAATCTAAATTATATTAAGGCTAAACTGACCAATCAGCATGTTTGTTTTGGTCACGTGGATAACTAAACGCTGATTAACACACTCTGGTTTACGTTAACTTTCGTTGTCAACGAAGTCTATTTTATGAACCAGTCGAATGAAAATAATACTCAACGAAAAATCGTAGTCAACGAAATGGACCAGTCGAATACGCCTATTCAGTGAACTGGTTTTTTTTTATAAAATAAAATAAGATGAGCTGACGTACTAGTCTACTGTAATATAAAACAGAGGATTGTAGTTATAACATTATTGTAATGTTACTGAGTTTTTATAAACAATTTCATTTCTTATTTCATGATGATAAACAATATAATAATGAAAATTATTTGCTGAAGAAATAGAATTCTAGTCATATACAAGTTTATTCATTCATTCATTCAATCATACATACATCACATAATTATTATAGCAAGGAAACAAATAACCAGCACTATTCTAGTGGATTGCCAAAAAGCAAAGTAAATCCACTCGATCAAGACACCAGTGAGTACATACAAAATCATTGCAAAAAAAAAATGACGAGAAATCAATATTCAGTTAAAATGAAAAGTATTAATAATTTTTAGCGAATATTAAAGAAATACTGTTTTTATTTGAATAAACACCCCGCCCTGCTTTGAATAAACTCCTCCTTGAATAAACACCCTCTCTAGAGCCTCATTTGGAACAACACCTCCCTTGAATAGATGCCCCAATGTGTTAATTTTTACCAAGTGAATAAATTCCCCTGTAAATGACAAATCTAATGGAAGCAAGATAACTCTCAACACATTCTAATAATTTGTTCTACTCCAGTGGGGAGTAAGTTTTTGTCTAACCTGGTTGGGATTAAAATGCTCACCTAATAACACATTTTGACGGTAATTATGTGTTATTGTTGGGGTCAAATTTAGGGTAATTTAGATGTAGATTCAGCGCCCTTTCAAGTTACGCCACAATAGACAGTTAATTTCTGTGCATGCTTCTATTTGCAGAAACTATCAATGGTCAGTTGGAGTTTGCTGAAGGCAATGCAACAAATTTAAACTCAGACATCTTTGAATCCAACAAGATGTTACAGATTATTGCCAGCCTGTATGACCCATCCGCATATTTTGAAAATGCAGACATTATTTATGAATGGAAAATTTGGAATATGTCCGAGTCATATCAGTTGGTTACTGTCAACAAGGTAAAATGTAAAAAGTTGATTTAGAAATAATTTTTGTTACAAAATCTACAGTATTTATTTATTTAACTAGAAATTATTTGTTGATTCTAGTTCCTATTGGAACCGCAGGATAGACTTCATTGTACAATCTTTTTTTGATATATTTAATGTACTTTATTCCACTTGGACATTCAGTGTGGTTTCTGCTGTCTTTTCTATTACAAATTTCTTTTTCCTGGAAAAGCATATGGAAACTTAATCAAATAATAAGAATTTTGATAGTAAGTTAAAAAAATTGTGTTGCCCAGTCTGAGTCACCATTACATTTGGAAACCAGGCTCACTTTAATAGTTGGCGAACGAAAATATCAAATGTAACCAGCAAATTTGTAGTTTTAACTGTACATGTTCTTATCAAGGTCGATCAAAATGAACAAACATACACAACATAGGTTTATGTCAGTTGACCTTGGATACCACTGGATTTGCACATTCGCAGTTGAAACCACAAATTGACTTATTAATATGACTTCTTTTTTTTTTATTACAGCCAAGAATTTCTTTTAACTTCACTGTCCCAGATAAGTATGAAATTGATGTCTTTATAACAGCTTTTGTTCCTGAAGATAAGATTTATTTAAAGAAACTGGGAAATTTTAATTCTTCTGTTTTAATAAAAGGTATGTTGAATTTAAACAATTGTAAAACAATATTGATAAAACTGTACTCATTAGAAAATTAAATAAATAGAAAAAAATGTATATATTAAAGTAAATATAAGTTGGGGTGGCACTCATGTCAAAATTGGATGTTCGTGCTAATTTACCATATATATTCGAATAAACGCNNNNCCCTCAATTATATTCCCCTCCAAAACTTCATTTGGAATAAGTGCCCCCTCCCCCCAAATAACTGTAAACAAAACTAATGTAAGAAACATCTTTCTCAACATATTCTATTATAATATTGTAGTTCAGTATAATTATGCTGTTTTCTGACATGGTTGGGATCAATAAGTCTTAATGATCACACAGTAACACATTTTGATGGTAATTGTGAGTTCCACATTTACTATGAAATTGGATGTTTATTTGAGTGTATACGTATCCATTTTAAACACACCCTCGAATAAACAATCTAACAATAGATGCCCCAGGGGTTTGATTTGAATTAATATGGTATATACAAATCTAGATATTTTCAGCCTATACCCAATTCAGATGATAATTTTAAATGCAAGTGTGTGCTTAATGTTACAAAGATATAACACTGTATACCTACTAAAGTTTACATACAAGAGTGATGATTTCATATCAATAAGATGTTTCATTTATTTACCTCACAATCACATGTTTTAGCAAGTGACAAAGAGATTAATGATAATCCTATTGTTGGAACAAACTGTTTCGCTTCTGTCTACAGTATTATGACTATTGAAAGTGAAAGTAATTGATTAGTTGATAGGTGGTAGGCGTGAGAACATTTGAATTATTAGTCTTGCATTGAAGGTCAGTTTTCTCATCTTGATAAAATGCATTTCAGTAACTTTGTCTCAAAATTTGACTATTATCTACTGGTGTATTCTATATTACTGGTGTATTAGTAGAGTGGCTAAGGTTGAATTTCAGGCAGAATTGTGCACTTTTGGAAAAAAGCATGAAACTTCCCACAGTGATACAATGACACCATCATTAGCAAAAAATAGACCCCAAAAAATAATGCCATCTTGAAATCCAAAAGTGCACGATTTATTCTCCGCTTTATTATATAACAATAGCACAGTGACAACTAAAAAAACGATGGCTCAATTTTTTCTTTGGTACACAGGAATCGAGGTATGTCATGGCAACATAATTTAATCAAATTGATATCAGTGGTAAACTGATTCAAGGGATGTCTGCTAAGTTTTTACTGCACAGGGCAGGTCTAACAATTTCATTTATGTGACCCCATTATTAAAAGTTTTAATTATTCTACTCCTGTTCCTATTCAGATAAGGTTAGCAATCTGCAAATGACCGGTAGTACACAAGTGACAACTGGCGAGACTCGCCAGTATCAGATCACATGCAATGCAAGGTAAGTAAACAACACTGATTAGCTCATTTAATACACTGTATTTGTTTAAATAAACCCCACCTCACCGATTAAACGCCCATGGAGAATGTCATTTAGAATAATGGCCTCCCACTCTCTTGTTCCTTATGAGACTTAAGCTGGTCACTCACATCGTCGTACGGCAGTCGTACGATCGTCTTACGATAATTCCGACTCCGTTCTATGTGAGGGTTATACAAACCGACACTGTCTCTTGATTGTCGATGACTGTCTGAAAGGATCGTCAATAAAAACGATCGCTTGCACACTCATTGTGGCATTGCGTCGTTCATAAAATCGCGTCGCCCAACTACCGTTGGTCGTAGTATAAGCCCAACTTGTTTTTTTTTTTTTATGTTTGTCAGCGAATTGACTGTCATTATTATGTTTGCTGTTTGACATGCTCTCTGAAATATTTTGGTCTGGTGGCAGTATATCTTTCAACAGTACGTAATTTCCATTCCTTTCAGTCTTCCAGCTTATTTATGTAGCCATCTGTCTCTTAACTCATCGTGTATGAACGCTGTTGACGGATGTGTCCCCGTTGAACTCAACGATACTTGTTCGGCTATGATCAACCTACAGTTCAACGCTTCTGGAACACATTGTCTAAGTGTGAATGTTTCTAATGATGTCAGTACTTCTGGAATAGGTCAAAATATTAAAGTTAAGAAAGGTACTGAAGAAGACATTTTATTTTAGGGGTGGGGTATTATTTTAACTCGCCACCTACAAAGGTCATCCTATGCGACTTTGTAGTGCTTAGGAAGCCAGATAAGCACCATTGAGATAATATTAAGAGTGATAAAGCACAGCACACTTATGATCAGTGTTGGTGCCATCCAAGATCATTGGACCAAAAATAAAAAATATAATAATTTGCCTATTCAAATAACGTTATTTTGATTGCCAATCCATAATACTAAGCCATAAAAAATCTCACCATTAACGCTACAAGGGATTTTTTATTCTGGGAACCCCACCAAGGGTCTAGTTGGCCCCATTGTTCGGACCCCTTGTCGGCAAATTTCTGGAACCACCGCTATGATGATAATGATAGTGATGATAATTATATTTTTTCTTCACAGAAATACCGCATGAGAAAGCCGTTTCCATCACGATCGGTGTCCTATTTGGCGTAGTATGTTGCATCATATCATTATATCTTGTTGCTCAGCAAGTTAAAAAGTCACGAAGAACGAACATCGAGGTCGCAAACTTTGATTTCCAACAAAATGAAAGTGGTTCAAATTTTCGCATGTTCACACACAATGTGAAAGAGACTTGGAAACTTTTCTCATCAAAAATGTCTTCGAAACAGGCAACGGAGTATAGGCCTCTAATGCAAGAGGATAGGGACTTATAATTCAAAGCAGATTTAACTTGGTGATTGAGATGCTTGCCTTCCAATCCCAGGATCCCAGATTCAGATCCTGTCAAGAGAAAGGAGTGTAGCATGCTTTCCTGACAAAGCATTTTAATACCCTGTACAAGCAGGGAAATTCAAATTGAAAGAAGCCACTTCTGAAAAATGTGGTTAACTTAGCTTCCGCAACACATCCATCTTCTTTTTGTTTTGGATTGATACCCATTGCTAGCTAAATTCATGGAGGTAATTGATAATATAGTACATTAGCCAGCGGTGAGAGGCCATCCCCTGTTGGGGAGAAAATCCACAATTTGTCGGGAGAAAATAAAATGTTTATGTATTTTCTACGTGTTATTAGACCAAAAATCGATTAAATAAGCCTTTAAAACCCCTAAATTGTCATTTTTCTGGGGGTTTGCCCCTATGGAACACTTTTAAGAGATTTTGAGCAATGCACGACCACGCCCAATTTTTTTTTTCAGGGAAATCGTCCCTCCCGTTGTGGAACTTGGACAAGTCTTCGGGCGAACCCTTACGCTACCACTGGTAGCATATTCGGACTCAACATCTGTAAAAAAAAAATTGGTGGCATATTAAATGTAACAGTTGCAGTGGCGGGTCAGGGAATTTGAAATAGAGGGTCCAGTGAGGGATTTTCACAGGTGAAGACCAACTTAGCCCCGCCATGGTTGGGAAAAAAAAATTTCCTTTTTTCCGGATCTATTTATAATTTTGAAAAAAGAAATTGGGAGGGGGGGGGGTGGCTGAATACACCACTGATTTAAAATCAACAGAGTAATCAATAATTACTCCTCTAAAAGGCCCAGTGCACTGCCTGTAGCTACGCCACTAACATTAGCAATGAAAACTTGTAAATATTAAGAATTTGCAGGAGATGAGTTAGTTTTGGGATTCCTGATAGTCTTATGCTGAGGTCTTCAAATAATTTCATTAGGTTTTTTTTATTTAGGTATTTGTTGTATATTCCTAGTATTAAAACCCAGTAAAAGGATACGTTCTGCTACGCTTTTCTTCCACTATCAGTCGATCTTGTCGGGCAATGAAGCTGGGAGCTATATGTTGTTAGCAATGCTTTTCATGCACCTTTTAATGTGGTTTGGAGGGAGTATTCTGGTATTGGAGGGTGGGTACAGTTTCACTATAATTATTGAGTTTTTAGTATTATATTATTGAGTTAAAATGTGCAATCTTATGTTAATTATTATTATTATTTTCTTTTATAGACTTAAAGCAAAAGTCTATAGTAATGAATTAAGGATATACATTTTGCTAGATAAGGCAAGAATTTTTATACAGTACCTTGTTTCGCAAACTTATTTTTTGTTAAATCGAATATAATTCTATACAAGTTCTATAAAGTACTGTCCCACAGCCAAAGAAGTAATCAAGTGCTGAATTTTATTTCATCAATGCTATATGACTAAAAAGAAAGTAAGTGCTGCTCAATCCTGACTGCCCTTAAATGTAAGTTAATTAGCCTAGGCCAAAAAAAAAAACAATGACCGACTGACTGATTATGAATAGAAGTGGCAATTGCAAGTACAGTATGGTAATTAAAGGCAACCAAAATATCCTTTCAAGTACAGTATTGTATATAATAAAATATATAATAACTATATAAAATGCAATAAAATGTTGGATTATTAATACAGTACTATTTACGTACTGTTGCACAAAGCTTTTATCAAGTTAATATTTAGTCAATGCTTTATTACCTGAATAGCTATTGTAAAAGTGACCTACCATACCTGTATTAAATCTTGTATATGCCTTTAGAATAATTGTATACAATCACACTTATTATCAGTCACCTTAATGAAGTATATTTTACTATAAATAATATATGTACAGTCAAACTTTGCTTCATTCTGTATACTTCTTGCATATGTTTATAAATATTAGGCATTATCCTGTCTTAACTCCAGCCTTGCTATTACTGTTCGACATAGCTTTTTTAGTTTTCTTTATTAATGCACCGATTGAACTGAACCATCAGTGGCACCACGATTTGCCCAACAGAAGAGAATAAACTGTCTGATCAACGTTGACCATCTCGGTCTACAACACCAAGAATAAAATTCAAATTTAGACCATTTTAACTAGACGTATTATGCCCAAATATTTTTCAGTGTAACGAAAAATGGCTAAAGGCCGCTTTCCCCCTCCCCCAGTGGGGACCTTTGCATTGTACCTCATGCTTCCACATGACGGGAGTCTCCTAGAAATCGGGACAGCCTCCCGTAACAAGCAAGAATCTCCCGGAAAATAACCAGTCTTCCGCAAATTGATAATATGAGGCATGTCATGGCGAAATGGTTAAGTTGTCGCACAGTCCAGTATTGAGTAAATGAGCTTTAAAATATTGGAGCTCAAAAAATTGCCTAAAAATACAAATTTGTTTTTCACTATAGATCAACAGTTTATTGTCTTATTAATCATGTGCCAAAGTATTAGTTCTGGAAGTGGTCAACAAACTGTCTAAATTATTTAATGTTATTTTGATAGTTCATTCTATTAAACAATGTATGCACAAATAACTTTGAAAGGCAATTACTCAAAATTTTGTTTATCTTGATTCTAAGACTACTGTACTTTTACTTTCCAATAACTTAGGTTTGAAATGTCCAATTTCTATGAATGACCCCTCATTTTAAAGATCTGAAAATACCAATAACTTGAATTTCAATATTTGCTACAACTTAGCCATTTTGCCACAACATGCCTCATATATGCATGTTTTACCACTGTACTTTATTATCAATTGTCTCACAGAAGTCGGTGCCAATGGCTATTGCCACACACAGCAAAATAAAATTAAATGTGTTATTAAAGTTTATTTAACCAGATCTAATGGTTAAATAAAGTTTAATAACACATTTAAAGTTTATTTAACCAGATCTAATGGAAGGGACTTTTTCCAACAAATCTGGTTAAGTAAACTTTTTCCAACAACTTTCCAGTCTCTGAAATGATTCATATCAGAGTTTGGAAAGTTGAAAAAGTTAATTTAACCAGATCTCACGGAGACACTTTTTCCAACAACTTTTCCACCTCTGATATAACTACTGAATAATAATCTTGCATTCACAACTACAGTATCAACAGAATGTTTTTTTTTTTATTTTTTTATTAAATCTTTGTTTCATTATGTACAGCCATTTTAATCTTTATTTGCACCTAAATTCTTTGGTTTTTTTTTTCAACACTTGCATAGTAATTCACATAGCTACATTAGTTAATGGATAAATTAATTTCAAATTTTCAGTTTTTTAAATATAGATGCTAATAATATCTAATGCGTAGCACAAATTATTCGCTATAAACAACTTTTATATAACTGGAAATACACAACATGGAAAGACTAATGTTTTTTTGGCAGCACAAATATAACACAAATCTTGGATTCATTAAAATGTATATGTACAATAACTGGCACACAGTTAATACTGTAAAGCACAGTATAAAGGAAGAGAAGGAATATACCTGTTGGCTTTCAAGACTTAATCACCTCAACAACAAACTTACAAAGTAAACTTGACTTGATTTATATACAGTATTTTTAATTTACACCACATTTAATGAGGGGGGTCCATCCAGCTAAGCTGATAATGTGTCCCTTGGCGCTCTATAAACCAAATCTCTCTATACAGTATATGAGGCTTGTTGAGTGGAGACGTGATCATTTAAGGCCCTCAAAGGGAGGGTTTGAACTCACCACCCATGGATTGGAAGACAAGCATCCCACCGCCTACACCAACTTCATTGTACATACAGTATGTGCATGAAAATTATATTTTTGAGCTAATTTTACAACTTTTTATTGTTATTGTTGTCATTATTATTTATTATCTTTATTATTATTATTTTTATTATTATTAATAGTTATTGAAAAAACATACACTATTGGTAAAAATATAAAATATTGCTTTATCTTAAAAATCAATAAATAAACAAGGAAAAACTTGCGTTTTATTTTAACTGAGCTGTTCCATATCAATGTATAAAAAAATTCTAAATGGCTGAATGCACAAACACTATTTTTGTGTACCACTACCCATATGTAGCATATTATACTATAGAAATAGGTATACCCTAAGCGGTGATACAGAATTCCTATTATTAATTATACTAGCACTTAACTGCCTTACAGGTAGCCTTTTTTAACCAGAGTTTCTTTTGTTTTTTCTCGGCTTTTAATGATTCACTTTCCTCGTACTGTTTCTGCAGCCCAGAAACAAACTTCAAATATTTATCTGTTTGTTCCCGTGTTCGAATTTTGAAATTTGAGTTGAATGCAAGTGGATCTGACACTCTGGAATCTGGCGCACCGAGGTACGGAGGCTTAGCTTTCAACACTGGCTTGCTTTCTCCAATAAACATCGGCATGGGAACAACATCGGCAGTGGACGATGTGGTATATCCATGGTATTTCCTAGGCCTCTGTGCTGCCTTTGGTACTATTTTCTCAAAGTTGTTTGCATGTCTCAGAACAGGCCCAGCACTACTTGATCGTAATGCGGCATTATCTCTGCTTGGAGAAATTCTGATAATTTCCGCTGTGTTTGGTCGGATGACCTGTACTCTTGGTATACTTGTCTGCACACACTTAGGGTGTATACTTTCAAATACTTTTTTATCTGCAGGAACCTGCTCGATATTTGTGATAAGCCACTCCTTGTCTTTGGTACGGTAACTGTCAGTTTGTTTTGCGGGGAATGCCTTGCGAATCACGGACCTGGTTTTAGGCATGTTGCTGATGTTGACAACCCTGGGGGCGTGGAAAATATCTTTGACATTATGCGTAGTGTTCTGTACAACTTCAGTGTTTTGTTTTGAGCTTTCAATACTGTTGACAGTCAGTAACAATTGGTCCTGGGGTGTTTTTCGACCTTTTGTTCGTAGTTTTGATCGATATAGAGCTTTACTTTCTGAGTACGATAGGTGTGAATCAGCTCGAAATGTCACCCTTGCTGGAGCACTTTGTATTCTTTTTTCCACTTGTAATTGGTTTAGACTTGATGGTTCCATATTATTTGAGAAGGATGTAAGAGGACGTATGATTGGACTTTTTAGTATTCCTGTTGGAGAACGCGAGACTTGCAGGCTGTTAGAGAGCGAGGTAGTAGGGCGGGAATCTTCTCCTGACGATTTTGTTGATGACATTTGGCTCGGTGATCTTTCGGTAGCATTCCACTTGCCGGCGCCACTTGGAGGTCTTGTGGCCCTGCCTTTGTTTATTGCTGACCCAGGTCTAGACTCGGAAGCCTGTGTGTTGTGGAAAACACTACCCCTGAGGCTCTGCGTCAGGTTTACATCCCTCACAACCTTCTGAAAATACTCTGCCCTCCTGCGGCTGTTTGCACTCAGTCCTCGTGTACTATGAGGTAAACTTTTACCTTTTGTTGTACCTGGACTGATACATTCAACCACAGGCTCAATTTGGCCATGTTTGATCACCTTTGGATTGGCTGACTGCGCACGATCACTGCGTTGAGCACGGACATAAGTGTAGGAATGGTGTCTTAAGGGTGCATCCTTGTAATGATTTTTGTATCGCAGCAATTCTATTTTTTCTTCTACTTGTTCATAATTCCACTTTACTTCCTCAAAGTTCAAAATAAGTAAGTTGTTTATCGTATTTAACATCAGTCTGAAAAAAATAATGATGTATACAATTAAAACACTCATTTACTCTTTAATTAACCTATGGTATATACTCACGTCTAAGGTGATCCCCTTTGCGAAGATTTTGGATGAATTTTTATTGTCAGAAAAATAAGACGACCATGTGTCATCATCAGTATTCCTACTTTCTGCTATTTTCTATGGTCTTGATACTCCATCTAGCTTGCTAAATTCAGAGACAAATGTATGGCTATATGTTTATCAAAATCTTATTTCAGTATAGTTAGTTAGTACCATACTTTCAGTAGTAGCACATGTTACAGACGATCTGCACATAAGACAAACATGTTAAATTAAAAATCAAACATTTTTATGTGTTGTGCCATTTATCAATCTTCGATTTGTTTTAATGTATGTATATTTTAAAGCTATTATTGTCTGTTTGCCAGTCTTTTTTTAATTTGGATTTCAACACAAAAGAATGTTTTTAAGATGAGCAAAATACAGCTTTACCTTTCTCCACAGGGACATATGCTGAGGATGGGATCAGAACGGCTGTTGCCACGCAACACGCGTAAACACTCAGACTTCAGCATATTCCAGATTCGCAACTTTCCATCTTCACAACCCGTTACCAGGCGTAAATACGTAATCTGCAGACACAGCACAGCCCTGTATGTGAAAATGATAAGACCAAGAAAAAAAATTAGTCTTGTTCTCTCCACTTCCTTTTGTAGATGTTAATACGTATCTTTCTATTGAGGTCACCAACGAGTTTTTACCGGTAATAAACAACATACATATTATTATCAACTTACAATGGGTGTCGTAAAGAATTGATGATTCTCTTGTGATTTCCAACGGCGCTCCAAACCAAAGCGTAACCATCACTACCACCAGTAGCTATGTGCCATTCATCAATCTTCACCGCCTGAATTGGACCGCGATGGCCTAATGGACCATCCAAACGCTATCCAGAAAAACGATGAATAGAGTTTAATGCAGAAAAAAACGAAATAGTTTTTCGATATGCCTATATTTTCTTGTATAATTTTTATCTCATTATGGTTCAAGAATTTTCATTTATATAATTGAAAATTAAAAGAATATTAATGTAAAATAATAACACCTAAAAATAAATAAAAAATGTCATGTTTTTCTGTAATTTGATTTAATTCAACTTTGTATTGTAAATACCATACAATTCAGCCGTAAGGAAGCAATTTCTATGTTTTTTTAATAAATGAATGAAAATAATAAAAAATAAATCATAATAATATGCAGTCCATTACTGAAATTAAAAAAGAAATAACCACTCACAACCTTGTAAAAATATAAATGCAAAACCAATATGTATAATAACTACCTTTATCAGACATGCATCTTCAATTGACCAGACCTTGACCTTTCCCCCTTGACAACCACTGACAACACGATCACCATATACAGCTACAGTTAGCACTTGATACCGATGTTTAAATGTACGAAGACACTTACCGGATTCAAAGTTCCAAACTGAAGAAAAAATGCAAGAAAAAATATTCATAAAATAAACAGGATTTAAAACCAGACTTAATAGGGAGTTTTTGATTTGCGTGAAAACGCTAGAACTCATGCTTGACCATTGTACGTTTTCTGCACCAAAATAGATCTGGTCGAATTTCATCCTAGAATTCATGCAACGAGGAGAACTTAACTTTTTCACATGCGCAGCTTAACTTTTTAGTGAAGTCATTACACCACCGCAGCATGCAATCAAAATTAGCCCCTATTATTTTACCCTGCAACTCGACTGAACTCAACTGATATCATCTGACCTATGGCAACTTGCCTATGGGCAACTAATCCTACCTTGTAGCTTGTAGTTGCACAATTGTGAGTGAAAGTAAACATTTTAAGAATGTGAATTAATTATACTAAAACTTCACATGTTTGTACTCAGAAAATGAAACTAAGATTTAGATTCACATAGATCAAATTTATAGTGATTTTGGCTCTCTGTCTGATGAAGAATTAGCCATAAACAAAATATGACTATAGACTGACCTTTAACAGCATTGTCTTTTCCTCCAGATACTAAAAAATCTTCAAACATATCCAAACAAATAACAGTCCCCTGGTGTCCACGGAAGATCTTGATTGGCCGACCTGTTTTAAGATCCCAACATCTACAAAAAAACAAATATAATTTAATTCCTTCTATTGATACATACATAAATAATTTTTTTTTTAAATTTTATTTTATGGATGAATAGATACCATTTTCTTACTTCACACTTAGAGGCTGAATATTAACTTCACTCTAATAATGAGTTCAACTTCGTTATCTTCAGCTTTCAAATCTAATTTCATTATTAAGTATGAGAACATCCTCTCACTTTAAAATAATGAGCCTTGATTACCCATCATAAAAATGTGTTAATCTTCTACTTTTAGAATACCGTATGTATATCCTTCAAGCCTCTCGCTGTTCAGTTCATTTCATTTTGTTTCCTTGAACAAAGCACTATATCTACATTTGTCTCCCTCTACACAGGAGTATAAATGGGTACCTGGTAGGAAGTTGTGGCTTAGAAAGTATTGCTCCCTGCACAATAATACTTGAAGGTATACCACATAGAGTGGTGAAGGTTGCACTCTGAGCCAGTTTGCTAATATCAATCCAATGACTAATAATACTGCTAGGCAAGAAGGTACACAGCCCATAGAGTGGTGAAGGTTGCACTCTGAGCCAGTTTGCTAATATCAATCCAATGACTAATAATACTGCTAGGCAAGAAGGTACACAGCCCATAGAGTGGTGATGGTTGCACTCTGAGCCAGTGTGCTAATATCACTATGACTATCAATATGACTATCGTATAAGTAACATTGCCAGTGCAGTATTTCTTGGCAAAAAGCATGGTACGTTTAATTCATATATGATTACTATTATAATTATTATTATTATATTATAATCTTCTCATTCAAAGTATGCATGTATTCTCACCTGATACTTGTATCATAACTCCCACTAAGAACAAAGTTTCGGCTTTCATTTATATAAACACAACGAACAGACCCTGCATGGCCGGTCATTACTGGTCCATATGGTCTTCCTGTTGCCACGTCAAGAAATTGTACATGACGGTCAAATGAACCAATGGCAGTTAACTTCCCATAGTTGTAGTGCACCACTCGGTTAAAATCGTGTCTGTGATAGAAAAAATATAAGCATAAATAATTGAGAGTTAAGCATTCATTATTTATAGAGGGTGTGTCACATTTATAAAGTGTTGCTACCACCAGTTTAGCCGACTGAGCTAAGCTACTATACTCTCTCTATTATCTCCTAGTAAATTATAATAGAAGGTAAAACTTACTGATCGGATAATACCATAACATTGTAACCACCGCAGTAGACGTTTCGTTCTTCCATCTCAACTTCATCTGTAACAATACCACTGTAACACGAGTCAATGTTGATCTCACTACGATAAGACACATTATCAGGAGGTGTATCTGCAGGTAAAGGGTCTCTTGTGTCTGGAATAAGCTGTGGTACTGGAATCTTGATGTGTTTAGCATAGACAGGGTTCCCACCCTGAGCTGAAGATCCCTACAGAAAGGTAGGGAAAGATGATACAGTGTTACAAAGTGGGAAAAGAATGACGCGCACATGACATGATTTAATACTTTGTTCATTATAAATATCTTTTAAGAATGCTCAGTAGGTTTTATTGTTTTAGACACCATTTAGACCTTATTAACTGGTATGAGGTAGGTTGTTCGTTAACAGTGGTTGGTGGCCACAATTTTCTTCTATCACGAGTAACTGAGAAGTCACAGCTCCATGCTGCATTTTTGGCCATTAACAGAAATGGTCCATGGCAACCGACTTTTGGAAAAACTTGGGTTATAAATCCTGCTGGTTTGTTGAATAGCGATGGGTTCTTAAATTATTTATTGCCAGTGGAGCCCATTAGATGAAGTGAGTGATTGTAATGGGTTTCTTGTTTACATTCCGATGGCTATATGTTTGCTGGCCAGGATTCTCTTGTTAACTCCCAATGGACATTCTTAAAACCAATTAAAGTTATTTTTTTCACAATCAGTCAAATGCAAGAACCAAAAGAAAGCATATTTCTTAAAGAAAAAAAAATGAAAATCGGCAAACTGTACCTGCATTAGCATGACATCTTCAACAAGTTCCTGCTGCACGATTCTTTCACCTTCGACCTCTTTCGCGACGACATGCCAACTTAACGACACCTGCCTACACTGTGCCAATGACATGCAGTCCAAAAAGTTCAAAATATACTTCGCTAAAAACACAGGCAAATCACGTATAAAGTCGCGTCTTTTCGCAACACCACTAGTAGCTCTCATAGACATTGGCATGATGCTAAGTGTTGGGTCGACTGATGAATCTGTGATTAGTGACATCTGGTCAAAATCTTCCTCATAATCCTCAACAAGGACGTGGTCGGGCTCTAGGTGCTCACTGGCTAGAGGGTTCGTTATTGGATCAAAATATCCCGGTTTAGCGGAACTTAGAAGCTCATTTTCGGGGTAATTATAGGAATCATATGAATATATTGTAGAGGCCAATGATTCAACATCATCTAGAAATTCTAAAAAGAGAAAAAAATAAAGCTATTTTATATACTATAATGTTTAAAAGACAATCAAGGTTGGAAGGTGGTTATTAATTATAAGTCATACAAAACAATTAAAATGTTTATATATTATTCAAATAGAATATGTATAGTATAGTATATTATTTTTTAGTACATTATTAGTTTTTCAAATGTTTTACATTTTTATATTTTAATTATGTTGTGTGTTTTTATCCCCTGCAGGCATGGCAATAGTCAAATTGCTGAATACTAATTAACTTTTATCAGATAGATGGCCACAAGCTGCAATCAACACAGCATGAGATAATTAATTTGTCATTAAAAATGCTGAAGTAACTACAGTAATGCTGCGGTATCTACAGTAAACAGTACAGTACAGCAAACTACAATTCTATTTTTCCACTTAAATAATTTATCAAATAATTTATCGATGTTTGATCAATGCCAATTTTTAAACCATTTCTACAGTAATCTGCATAGTAGGCTACCAATTCATAACTAAACTGCATAGCTTCCAAATCATAATTCATCCAATAAAATACATATTTTAATTATTTGCATTTTTAGTATCAAACATTATATAAAATAACATAAATTTCAAGTAAGTAAGTAAGTTGCATTGCAACTTATTGGATGCTTAGAGGATATTACAGCAAATGTTCCCCCTTTCCCTCCAACCCACCCCCACTCCGCTCATAAACATAATGATAATCTTTATCAAACATACATGTATTGTATTGAAGTGGTACTTGTAAGGTTGTGGAGCATAAAAAAAAAAGTTACATTAAGAGATTACATTAAAAAACAAATACACTAAATACAATATAATACAGTAGATCATAAAAACATGTAAAATCAGTAAAATAAATTAAAATACACTAATTAGTTAACATTATATAAAACCATAAAACATTTTAAAATGTTTTTGAAATATTGGTAAATTTTCAATGATTTAAAAAGATCTAATATACTGTAGGGCAAGCAATACCAGTAAATGTGCACACTTCAAATTAAAATACAGATACAGTACATTAAAATACAATAAAATACATAAAATAGTTTAACTGCAAAAATATGTAATTTCCCTATTTAGAACAGGTTTTGAACCTGCATCACCACCTCATTATATGTTGTTTTATTTTCAAAATCTGTTATTCGCCACTCTACTGTGATACACTCTCATACTATATTCTTTAAAATAATTATTTATAATTCCAACGGAAATTGATATCACCGAGGCTAATTGTGAATGATCATATCATTCAGGAAACGGGGAATCAAAGCTAATCATAATAAACCATTGGAAATCTACACAGTTAATTGTTGTACGAATAAAGGCGGTCATGTAAATGATTGATTACGGCGCACTGAATCAATCCGGCATATTGATCTATGAAATGTATCACCTGTACGCAATTAAATCCTGCATCTATAATAATAAAGAAAAAAAAAACAAAGTACCTTTTGTACTACTAGTCTAAGATGACTCTCTGTATAGTAACTAGGTTTCCATGTTGCTATGACGATCAATGTAAACATAGATTTGTTGAGTAATAGGATGAGGACTGTATTCAGAGTATAGTTTTGTGTAAAATATCTTTTTAAGCACTTTGTTAACATTATTTAACTTTTTGGTACACAATAATTCAGAAAGACAATTTCTGTTGTTATTTTGTTGTAGCTTGACTCTCTAATTCTATTTAATAATTATTTGTGTCTGGCCAATTTGTATTGTAAATTTATGGTGTACATACTGCAGATACATATTTTCCTCAGAAGCAACGTTGCTCAGTTATTTTTATGTCAGTGGAACATTTGAACAGTTCCAATTACTTGGTTTAAATTTATTTCAAGCAATTGAGTTAACTACTTCAATTTTGCATTAATACCTACAGAGTGTGTCAATAATTGTACAATACCTGTTTAACTAACAAAGGAAAAAAATAACCATTAATCAATTGTCAATATTGAATGAAGAGTAATAAAAAATATTTATGTTTTCATTGGGCAGATGCAGGATTTGGCAGTAGGGGGTGTGTGAGAATCGACATAACCTGAGCCCCACCATGGTTAGGGGTGAGGTGAAAAGATTTTGAGAATATGGATCTCAAAGTACATGGAAATTGCAATCTCATACTTTTAAAATCTAATACTGGTACTATATTTTAATGATAAAAATAATATATCCAATAAATTCAAACACAATCACAATCAATACAAAGGAGGGATGACCTAAAAAAGAGTACTGTGTTGAAGAGTCATCAAATAAAAATATTTTATTTTAATTTTTGTATTTATTTAGCCACACAACACATACACCAAGAATTGTCAATAGCGGATATATCACTGTCCTACTTGGACTGTAGGTGACAATCCCTTTCACAAGATAATACACACACGATGCTTTGCACAAACTAAATCTCAATATGAGGTTTAGGGAGTGGAGTTGTTTTGGTCGTGAGAAAAAAAATCCTACAAAACTGACAGGAATATGAACCCAGGATAACGGGATTGGAAGGCAAGCATCTTTAACCACCAAGCTATTCAACTCCACTAGCTTTTTTATAATTATATATAATAAAAATTTTTAGTGTTGTACTATATCATCAGACAAGTACGGCTCACCTGGGTTAATTATGGTTCTTTTATTCAGGGATTTAGTTATGGTGGGTGGGGCCACCAAGCCTTGAAGTTTTCTACCCAGTCTAAAGCTAGTTTCATGGCCCTCCACCCGCCCTTATTACCTCAACTTTCCATCCTTTAAATCCACTCTTTCTTATTATTTAGAGTTTATTAATTTTACCATCTACCCACCCTTAAAGCTACAACCCTGTTAATTGTAGATTATGTATTTATTATGATAAAAATTAATATTTTTTAAAGGGACAATTTACTTAAAAAACAAATTGCAGTGTATTTTCTTATAAGGCTGTGACGAAGTTTAATTTTTTTTTGTATTTTGAGATAGAAAATGATAAAAGTAAACTGAAAGACTGACCATTTTTACGCTGATTCTCTTCCAATTTCTCTTCGTTGACAAGCATAGTTCTAGCCAAGGTTCCTGCCCTATGTAGAAGGTCTCCATTACAATTCTGAAGAACACCCATCATATAGTTTGCCTTGCTCCAATAACCTGCTTCAAGGAACCAGTCCCATAGTTCTTGCATGGCTTCATCCAGATCAGACTTTGATAAGGCACGGTCAGTTGAAAACTCTGCGCTGTCACCAATAATACTGGCATTTGTTCTTGACCGTGCATACGTATAGTCCTTGCAGAGGAGAGGTTTAAGAAGACGAACGACATACCGGAGAAGATCGGCACTGTGGAAGCGTTGAATTAAACCAAGGATGTACTTCTGCCGTGTGGTTTCTCCTGCACGTTGAAACCATTCCTTGGTTTGAATCAGTTTTGTCCCGAGTGTGCATGAGGCACATTCACCGCATGTTGTTGTGATCTGACTGTGAACACATCGAAGTTCCGGTGCTTTCCCGAGGTTGAACTCAAAATGGCTGGTGTTTTCAGGTGGGTGTCTCATATTTGATATCAATTGAAGTTACTGGTCACCCCATATTGAAAACAATTCCTGGAGAAAAAATATAGTTAAGGAAGTCAATTTAAATTGTTTAAAACAGTTTTCTCTTAATAACTGTTGTACATTTATTCAACTTCCTACAAATTATAATGTTACAAGTAAGCATAAAAAATATTGAAATTGTAGAATCTGGGAGACTTGTATGAAGACCAGAGAGGTCACAAGCATGAAAGCCACCCAAGAAATTAAGTAATTTATGAAAATTTTAAAAAGAAAACAGAAGTAAAAACAAAATTTCATTTTCACTTCTTGTACAAAAACATGAAACCAAGGCTCTCTTCCAAAAGCCAATCTCTGCACTTATTAATATTATTAGTAAACTTTGATTTTTCTATAGACCATCTAATCGAAGCACAAGAAGTAGCAATATAATGGAATTGAACCACAACCATACCTACTAGGCCTAACCTAGTTAGGGCTGAAGAAAGGCCTCCTTCTTACCTAGGCTAGGCCACCACACAAGACAACAGAAGCCTCAGGTTAGCAGCCTAGGCCTAAACTAAAATAGGCCTAGGGCTAGGCGTAAGATTTAATTTAAGAACATGATTATTGTCAATGCCATGGTTGATGAAAGAGGCCTCTGCCTTGAGAGGGAGGCCCTAATTGTATGTAGCGATTAGAAGTATAAATGATACTTCTACCAGGGAGCTGTTGTAGTGACTACTTAGTCTAGGCACTGAGCTTACGAATACTGGTGAAGGTGAGTTCGCGGAGTGTATCAAGTACTGTACTCAAAAAGTTTGACGACTTGGTTGCGTTAACTTTTGTTCATTCAGTGACCGACGAATGGCCTAGGCCTAGCTTTGCTAGCCGAAATAACAATAGTAATTGCACTACAATGAATGTGTCGTAAGTTTACTTTTGTCTATTAGACAAAAATTGTACATACCTTTCTGTTACTGGATTTTATATGCAAGTAAGAGAGAGGTTAAAATAAATAAAGTGTTCAAGCAACAACCTCGCAACACTTCCCTATTTTTCTTCCGACACACTGCATGCTATGTGTTTCCATGCAACAAAATAATTGATTCAGTCAACAGAGGGCGGTACACAGAAATAAATTAAATTATAGAGAGTTCGTAGCTACAGGTATTTTTTTTTCAATTGAAAGTTTTTACGATTTTAGGTCTACAAACACACATAAAACTCCATCGGATCGGATAAAAAAGAATTTACATAATATAGAAACTATCAAGAGAACTATTTCGCCAAACGATCAGTTGAGGGGGGCCTCGATGATCAGTTGAGGGACGCTAATTCCACCGAGTTAAAATCTCCAAGTAGTATCACATTATTCAGTTCCATATTGATACAATTTTGACCTTTGCTCGAATACAAAACTAAATGCATTAATCATTACTTTTACTAATTCTACAAGTTGTCACTTTACAAATAAGTTTCAAAGATATGAACTGAAATTGGATCATTATTACTGTACGTTCCAAAGTACTGTATACCTTAAATGTTCATGTTCGTTTACATACATATATAATATTCATTAGCTAACATGTCAATTCATATTAATACATTTCACATGTTTATTGTTCCTTCCAATTGAAGACAAGCTTTTTTTAACACACTTTCTTCACTACATTCCAACAGAATTTCCTTTTTTAACTTTTCATAACCAAAATAATGTAATTCAAATGTCATTTCCTCCGACCATGTTTCTTTAAAAGTCTTCTCTGTTGTTGTTTACTTTTACTAAATGCTTGTGGATCACATTTGGAGAGTTTCTTTAATTTCTGCTTCCTCGCCTTTAGTTTCATCCAGAATTTCTGTCTCGTAATATCCGAGCTATGCCTGTGAAATGTCAGAGATAAATGCAATCAACTACTTTATCTTCAAAAACAATCTTTATAATAGTATAAATTAATACAAGGACTGAAAAAATCATTGATACCAATCTTCTTACCATTTGCTTTTATTAGATAAAGTTTTCTTTGTTTTCTTTATATTTATTTTTTCCTCTTCTTCACTATTTGAACCTTCCTCACTGTCTTCTACATTCTCTTCATCTTCATATTCAAACTTAAAAATAAAATTTAGTAGGCATGATTCATCATATATAGGGACTATACATATTTGCAGGGTTATACAGTATTACATCATTCAGTTTAAATATAATAAGCTTACCTTATTTGCTCCCAAGCCACCATGCTCAGACAAATCTACCTTGGTAACTGTTGTCACAGTAACTGTGTGGTGTGCATGATCAAACACCTCTGCTTTACTTTTCTGTTTTAATTCACTTTCAAAATCTGCAGAAGAAAGAAAATCAACATAATATAAAATCCAAAATACTCCTTCTTAGACTCACATCTTAGTTGGCAACCAAATGTAAATTGAAGTGTCTATGTTATCAAGATTAACAAAAAAAAACATTTCTTCCTAACCTTTTGGAAAATACAGTTCTGTGTTGCTAAGCAACTCCTTCTTGGCATCTCTTCGTTCTTTTCTTGCTTGTAGTTTTTCTTCCTTTTGCCTTTCCAACGCAATTTTCTGAGCATGTTCCCTTCGTTCTTTTTTTCTTCGTTGAAAACCAGTTAAAAAGTCACTAGATTTTAACAGAAATATATATACATCACTACATGCATAAAGGAAGCCTACATAAGGTACCATATTCAATCAAAGTGTTATTCTAATAATAGATATCACAACTAATTTACTGGTATTCATTCAAAATTACATACTATGGTGTGATGCTGCAGTCCAATCTAACCAAATGTCTGTGAGTTTGATCAAGTCAGATCTTAATGACTTATCATTAATGTATTCACAAGCGTAAGGTGGTCGTCAATACACTCCTCCCACTTTAAAAAGAGGTGACGATACCTTACAGAAATCAGTTGAATGAAGCATGGGCTCTGTAGATCACAAGCCCGGATGACCCCTTTATCTAGATGGAAAAGACAGATAACAGGAAAACAGGATGACAGCACTGTCGAAAAATTTGGATGGAAAATAATCTTCCATGAAACAAAATGTGTCATTATGTTTCATGGAAAATAATCTTCCATGAAACATAATGACACATTTCTTTGTAGAGAAAGTTGCTCAGAAAAGGCTTTGAACATTCTTCCAGGTCAGATCTAAGATCTGCCTGGGTCTCGGCCAAGCACCTCTCCAACCGCTACCATGATGGCCCACATGCCTGCCGCTGCTGATAGTTGAGTCTGCGGGCCGTCAAATTGAAGTCAACAAAAATTTGATGCCAATAAGTAGACCTCCTGAAGAAATGCTCTTCAAAGGCCTCAACAACATACTGCTGACCTTTCCGCCATTGCATTCCTGCCATCCCCCTTTGATGGGCACACTTGTTTATGTTGCTGACATGGGGTATGTTTCCAGATCACAGAAAATGTTATGGCCCACACTGTCATTATTAGTAGATTGCAGGTTAGAGTAGTGGGAAACAGCGTCCGGCACAGATTGTTCATAGAAGTTGGACACTTGGCAATAAACCCTAAGATTGTTGTAGATTCCCTCAGGACTGTGGGTGTGCCATTTGCTTGAGTTGTTGCTCTTTGTTCTAAGCATGCATCCTCTTCTTCTTGGAAGTTTATAGAATTGACCGAGTTTGAGGAGGTGGATGTACTTTATGGTACTACCAACAACTGCCTCCTCTGCACAATCAATGATGCCGTTCATTACACTTGCCTTAGTATAATGGGCCATGGCTGCTGTTGTAAAATAGCCAACAATCGGTACTTGTTTGTACTGGTTGATTGGTTCCTGGTGGACTATTGAACAAACATGTTGTTAGTATCAGCTTTGGATGCCATCCTTTTTCCGAGGGCTTCCCAGGGTTGGCTGTACAGTGCACAGGAAATAGATGCGCCAGTGTGCGTCGTATGATGACCTCCAGTGGGCTGATACTACATTCTCCCATTGTTTGAAGAGTATGTGGTGACACACTATACTGCTGTGCCACCAAGCTAGAAGCGACCAGCAGAAATAAGGGAAAATAAAATGGACTCAAAATCTCAGAAAGAGGTGTAGGTCGTTCTTCCGGGTGAGCTCTAAGACTGTGTTTCAGTCTAGCTAAAACCTGGCCCACCGTCTTCACTGTTTCTCAGAGCAGATGAGGCCTAGGCCTAGTCCCCCACCCCTCCTTCCCCCACTCGCTGGAGGATGCAGCCTGTGATACCTTGCACCACCACAGCGAATCCGGGGTCATTGCAGTTAGACCTCCATTCATTCAATTTCAATTCAAATTTAATTTTAGAAAAAATATAACAAAAATGGGATCGCTTCTACACTGCAAAGCCCTGCCAGTGGATTACAGTCGTTCATCATTTGTGTAGAAGCGTACGTTAGTCGTTCGTTACATTACAAGGCATGACAGACCAGACGAGGTGCAGGCCTAGGCCTAGCCCAGTGTGCCACAGATCATAGAGTAGCACTGCTGTGTGCGTGTGAGTGTAGCACTTTAAGCAGGCCTACCCTAGCCTAGCCTAATAGTACAGTGAGCTCACTCACTTTCGATCCTCCTCGTCAAATTTCAGGACAAGTTTACTGTTACGATTCTTCGGATTTTTATGCTTAAACCAATTTGACTTGGCTCTTGAAGCACCGCCCATAACTATGCTGAGTTAAGCAGAAAATTGTTCAACCGTCTCACTGAATCTCTCACCTCTTAGCCTATAAACACGTTTTTTCCCACGCTAGTCGTGTCGAAGTTCAAAGGGTAAAGTTAATTCCGGCCAGGAAGAAACTGGGCCTTATGAAAATAACACACTGCAAGCTTAAAACAGGTACACATAATTAGAAATTAATTCGTTATTTTTTACATTAATTTTACAAAAATTCTACTTCTGCATGATTTCGATTCGTATACATTCACCAGCAATCCGAATACTTGTGGAGGTAAAAAATAAACGTTGATTTACGCTTAGAAAGTTAGGCCTTGCCCAAAGTGCCTTGCAACTGTGCTGCTATTTTACCGACCAGGCTGAGCCTGGGCGGCCCTAGGGCACTAGGAGGGAATGCCCTAGCTCTTGGGCCTAGGAGGCCCCCTATTTCTGTCTGGGCATAGGCTGGAAACTTGGTTAAGGCCTAGGTGTAGGTAGTCCCGGCCCCACCCCCATTCATGTATGAATTGAATTAGTTAGGATTAGGCTAGTCCATTCCTAAAAAGCCTCCCAACGATGATTAAAATAAATGTGGCTGTTGACGTTCTGCGCATTTTGTTCCTTTTGCTCAATTTAAGTTGCTGATGTAATCTAGAAGTCGTTTTAAAATGTGCGTGCAGTATGCAAACTGTGCAAGGATTCTTTCAGCATTTGTGGTAAAATGTACTGACATATATATTTATGAACTGATATTTTTATAATAGTTTGTGATTCAACATAATGTATTTTGTGAGAGATACGGAAATTCCAATATTTAATCGATTGGAATTTTGCAGATTCATCTGGTCTAGGCCTAGCCTACAGTAGGCCTCCTAACTAGGGCCTAGGCTAAGCATGTTTCTAACGAGTACTGTACATTGAAACCCATCTTTCAGGCTTTTATTTGGCAACTAACAAAATTAACCTTGTAAGACAAAGTATGTAGGCAAATTATATAGGACTTTATTTTATAATACTTTTCAATTTACAAGATAGGATTCCTGAACGTGGTTTTTCTTTTTATGAAATAAAAATCATTATCCAATGACAACGTCTTCTGATGATATTGCCTGGTAATTTTGTAAAATTGTAGTAAATCAGCAAAAACAGTTGATATGTTGTCATAAAAATAAATAATAGTTATATAACTTTATTTCTTATCAGTATTTTATTGATTTAGTCTTGTTTACTGTATAATTTTTTACAAAATGTATAATTGTATCATTGACATTTAATTATTGAAAGTCTTTGTGTGAAACAAACAAATAATGCCCCATATAAAAACCAAAGACTTTTTCCCACGTAGAGTTATTCTGGTAGATAACCTGGGTATAATCCCTGTTTTTTTTTTTTAGAAGTTTACTGCATTCATGAATGCTGTTAAGCATTATTGAACCAACAGCTTAAAATGTCTCATCTGAAATGTACACCTATATTGAACCAATTTTTATTAGCATTTCTAGGTAATGATGTTGAACACAAAAGAAACTGTTTAATGGGGTGATAAACTTTCCATCATGGCTACCACAAGGTAGGTTGAAAATAATAAAACACAATATTATTTTGACATTCATACTCAGCAATAGTTTGAGGTGTCAACCAATTGATATTATTCTCTCTGTAGATTAAATCATGCGTAGACTAATTTAGTATGTATTGCAAATTCAAGGACAATTTTCCAAAAATTAAAATTGTAATTTCAATAAAATAGTCATGTGATCCTAATCCTCAGTGAATACAATGTAAATTTTTATTTATTTTATTTATTCGACCAAGATAATAAGATAAACAGTACAATCAAGGAGGCATAAAATATTATTTTATACCCCCTTGGTACAATTAAAATCCAGCAAGACTACAATGAAGCAGCTATATGTACTGCAGCCAATTGCATGATTGAAAACTCAGGATCATTACATTGTCAATAATTTAGCAAGTAAGCTCAATTTTTTTTATGGTATGTGAAACTATTAAAGAAATATTATCCCTATTTAGGCTTGACCGTTTATTTCTTTTATTGGACACCGGTTCAACACCGGTGACTCGGAAAGCAGCGGCACAACAACTTGGAGAAGTCCAGAAACTTCACCCACAGGACTTGCATAATCTTCTATTTAAGGTAAACAGTATGTGTGTTCATAGCCAATCATAGAATGTAAATTTAAGGATGGTTACATTTTAACAGGCATTAAAGGATAAAAGTTATTATCTTGTCTTGTACGAATTTCAGTGTTTATTGTCTATTTTCACTCTGATAGTTTTTTTTCTGAATGTACAACTGCAGGTCCATGTGTACTTACGCAGCAGAACTTGGGATACTCGCATTGCCGCTGGCCAGGCAATCGAAGCAATCAGTCGCAATGTCCCCCAGTGGCAACCAGTTGTACCAGTTGTTAAAGTCGAAGATGGTGAGAAATATAATTTTGTTTATATTGTTAATAAAGCGCTGATTTCAATTGCTAATGGAATGCTGTACCCCAGGGGGCTTAGGATATATCCCATAGATATTAGTTCCAATTATCATAGTAATAATCAGTGCTGGCGCCAGCAGAGGAGGGGATAGGGGAGTCTGGACCCCCTGTCATCTGATGCCACAACAAGGTCATCGGATCAAAATTTAAAAAAATAATAATTTGCCTATCAGAATAACATTATTTTGATTGCCAATCTCTAATATTGTGGTCTAAAAGCACAGTTTGGACCATACAAAGCCATTATATATCTCCCTGTGAACCCTACCAGAGATTTTTTATTTCGGGACGCCGACTGAGGATATGTGGGCCTTTTGGTTCAGACTCCTCCGTCGGACATGTCAAACCACTTGTCGGAAAGTTCCTGGAGCCACCGCTGGTAATAATGTGAAGTGCATTAAAGGTGGCTGAAGCCGGGCACTCATTGCGTCGTACGACGAAACCAACTCCACTTCCCTGTGAGCGCTAGGGGATGCAACGCCATCTGCTGATTATCGATGGCATTCCGAGCGGATCATTATTAAAAATGATCCGTTGCAAACGGGTCATGGCATGCATTCTCAATAGAATCAAATCAACCGACGACCGTCAGTGCAGTGACTGCCTGGTTTTACTGTAATATGTGTTGTACAGTATATAAAAAACATATTATATTATTATTATAATACTCAAAGATTATTATTTGTTGTGTGTTACATTTGAACAAATTTTAGATGCAGGGGAAAGCTCTGCATCGACACTACCAAAAGACTCCCTCAATTTTGCTAAGTTTGATATCAACCGTGTGCTTCAGAAGGGTACCTCTCTCCTAGGATCATCAGGAATGGAGTATGAACAAGAGCTTGAAGAAACAGGTGAACATATCAACTTCAAATCAAATAGAATCAACTATAGTAGGATCATTCCACCATACAGACCACCACCACACTTTTAGTACTTGAAGTACACCCATAGAGGAAACAATAATACAATAAGAAACCACCATACAAATAGTATTAATAATGCTTTGTTGGTCCTCATTCTAATAGGAAATCGGAAATTCGGGCTGGGCCCCTGGGGACACACAGCAGCCGCAGTGCAGTGCCACCCAACTTAACTACAACATAACGAACACAAACGGATACAAGCGTTGTCCTTAATCTTTCTAATTTTAAATATGAGTGTTATTCGAGGAGCCAAGCAATCAGACTCCAGTTAAAACTCAACGCAGGCCTGGGTCTTAAGCACAAGAAGCAAGAACAATACCTCTCAGCCAACTGCTCAGCTCCACAACCACATTTGCAGTATGTGATATACACCTGTAAAAAACACAAGATTATAATTTGTGTTGCACCATACAGACCACCATCACGTTTGAAACAAGAATTGGAGACTCCATCATGCAAACCATCACTACTTACAGTATGTAATGTTCACATATAGAGGTGGTCTGATATTGTATTCATTCCCTGCCTTCTCATTCTCAACAGGAATTGACCCAAAGCAGAGACTAGCAAAACAGAGAAAACTACTTCAGAAGAAGCTTGGCCTAGATGTCGGTGGAGTCCTTGGCATGGATACCAATGATCTCTTCGATGATGATGATCTGGAGGTCAAGGATGAACCACAAAAGAGGAACCAGTTTCTCACGGTTCCTCAGGTATAAGGACTAATATTTTTAGTTTATTTGATTTTATTCATTTAGGCCAATGGGTCATTTTATGAAATCTTAATAATTATATATCTTTCCATCCGAAGACTGCTGCTGAAATAATGGAGCAAGAAATGGATCACTTGATGCCAGGTTTAAGCTCCCGGGAAAGAAACCGTGCCAAGCGGAAAGCTAGGATACTTGCTAAGCAACGTTCCAAAGACCATCCTGACAGCATCAGCTCAAGGTAGGCATATTTCATTTCACAATCAAGTGGCCTTATGAAAATATCTCAATCATAATAAAATACTATACATATGTAAAAAATTACTCAAATTTAAAGATACGCTGTGAGAAACATTTACTTTTCAATTTAAAAGTTTAATTCATTTTAAAGAATAAGATAAATTAAAGTAAATCCAAAACAAGTTCACTGGTTACAAACTTTTTATATTTAAAATTCATAACCTAAGAATATAGGATTGCAAGAGGTTCGAGTCTCAGTGTTTTGTTGAAATACAGTATCACGAACTAGAGGGTGTCTTCAAAAGGACATAAAAGGTATTCGTATCAAATGCGTCCTATTAAAACTATTTATGAATCTTGTGTTCTTTGACTTGATTCTTATTTCAGCTTTGAGGGCAGTTTTGATGAACCGCCAGGAAAACGGGCAAAGACTAGCACGCTGTCCAAGCAAGCATCCGTAAACGAAAGGACATCAGATACTAGCCAAGACAGCAGTGTATTTATCGAAGCGGTATGTATTAGGTGGTTCTTTTTTTTATTGTGATTTGATTTGTTGTACCTATAAGGCAGAAAGGATATTCTGACTGATGGCACTGAAAACAAATCCTCAGTAATTTATGCGCAAGTTTCATAAACTTATAAAATGCATCACATGATTATATTCCAGCCTGGTGATTGGCCGTTTATGGCGTTCTCCGAGCAGCTCTGTAATGATTTATTCCACCAGTCATGGGAAGTGCGACATGGAGCAGCAACAGGAATCAGGGAACTTGTTAAAACGCATGGAAAAAGCGGAGGAAAATCTTTAGAATATCAGGTATCGCAGGTAAATAAAGTCTAGTTTCTATAGAATCTCTATATAGTCTCTGCAGCGTTTTCACTGCAGTCCTTACATTGCATAGCTTTCCCCGACGCTTCCTGATTCAACTGACCAATCAGCTTTGCCAAATTAGTTGTACATTTACAACTTCTTTTACTGTAAAGATAACAAGTGTTTTTTTTTTGTTTATGTTTAGCAAGATGAGTTGAATCAGGCATGGCTTGAAGACATAGCACTTCGGTTACTCTGTGTCCTCGCTCTAGATCGCTTCGGGGACTTTGTGTCTGATGAGGTAATTATATAACAAAATTTATATATATATCTTTCAATTTTTTTCAGTAACATTTAAAGATTGATTGATGTGTCATTTCTTCCTATCCCACACTACAAGTTCCTTATAACTTCCTGAACTGTGGGACTTGTCAAATAGTTCCACCCAGTCTGACTACAATCAATTAACTTAAGGATTCACATACTTTAACCATTACAATCAGACAGTAAATAGAAAATGCTAATATATGCATATGAGTGGATTAAACTAAATCCTCATGTTTTGATTCTAGGTTGTTGCCCCAGTTAGAGAAACCTGTGCCCAAGCTTTGGGAGTGGTTCTTCATCACATGACAGAGGAATCAGTACATGGAGTGCTCAGCATTCTCCTACAGTTGTTCAACCAGCAGCAGTGGGAGGTTCGGCATGGTGGTCTAATCGGCCTCAAGTATCTTCTAGCTGTCAGAAAGGTGCTCACATTTTGGTCTTTGTTTTATTCCATTATCATTTAAATTTCAAGACTTTACAGTATATACAGTTCGCCTTCCAATTCGAGACCACCTTTAAGTTCCTGAAAGTGTGTGGGTCTTGTGGTTCATTCTTCAATTAGATATTTAGCTTCATGTTAAGAGATTGAAGATTGTTAATTGGTTCTTTGAAACAGTAGTGTCGGAATTAGAGTTAACAAACATGCTCTGAATATCAAAATTTAAAAGCCTTTTATATACCTCATTTTTTTAAATTTTATTTTACACAGGAAATGACAAGCAGTCTGCTGCCCTCTGTGTTGCAATGCATAATTGATGGACTGCAAGATTGCAATGACGATGTGATGTCCGTAGCTGCTGCTGCTTTGAATCCCGTTGCAGACACTCTAGTCAGAATCTGCCCAGACCAGGTCAGTAGTAACATTCATCTGCTTTTAGGGAGCTTTGGATTGCACAACGACTGTAGGACCTAGAACGTAGTGTCCTCAAAGAAGTCATCTGTGCATGCGAGAACGTTGAGTTCTTACCACCTGGATTCTATGGAACAGTTTGCCCTGATTTATGTTGTGCAGAAAATGTAGGTCACGGATGAGTGAATCAGTGCATTACATCATCACACATAGCAAAAGAATGTGATGATTTCTGGCCGTGTTATTTATCTTCATTGAGACAATTAAGTGTAGTTAGCAAAACTATGCAAACATTTTGAATTTGCGGGACATAAGTTAGTTCCTGGGACTTTTTTGTATGCTTGCAGGAGTACCAGAGGCCATGCTGATTTCCAAGAGATTCCTGCTACTCGCTATAACCTTGGGACCCTGGTTAAACAGAAGATAAAATAAGATCTATTCTACTTCTTGGTTTTTATCACTGTCATCACACTGATGGCTTCAGCACAATATCAATATGTTTGGCTTCAGAGAAAAGTGTCCTAAGAAATCAGGAATGAATACACTATAAATAATTTTTAAAATAAAAAGCAGAAACTAGACTAGATAAAATGCGAATGATAGAGGGCCTGTGAAATGCACTAAAAAAATGATTCACTTTCGTGGTTTTCAATAGGTTCCGGTGATCCTGAGGACACTGTGGGACACTCTGCTTGACCTTGATGACCTCACAGCCTCGACCAATAGCATCATGGTTCTGTTGTCCTCATTGCTTTCATATCCGATGGTTCACCAGAAGTGCTTTCATACACAATCCTTGGGAGAGCTTATTCCCCGCCTTTGGCCTTTTCTTTCACATACGATTCTTTCTGTACGGAAAGCTGCACTACAGACGTTACTCACACTCCTCAAGGCAGACACTTATGAGGTGAGTCAGCATGGCATGATGGGATACATTTGAAGCAGGATGTTTACATTAAAATTAGGTTTCTTAGTAATTGCTGTTATTGCTTGAACATAAGTATTATGGTTTTAGTAAATGGTGTTTAAATTTTGTTATATAATTAGTTATCGACTGATACTGGTTTGCCAGATGGCATAGACAGGAAGCTACTAGTCCACACATCAAGCGCCATGAACATCCTGTTTGATGGATACTGGCGCTAAACAAATCTACACTATTACTATTATAAATCAATTTTACATTATAGTTTCTTATTAAATTATACTATCATCACTCAATTTTAAAGTCTATTTTATGAAATTAACCCACTGGAGCATAAGTTTCCTTTAGTGGAACTTACCTTTGGAAAATAAATGGAATCGTCTATTCAAGCACAGTCTTATGTAATGAGTAATTGACGTCATTCAGTAGCTGTTGAATGAGAAGGGGCTTAGAATGTTGTTGTTTGTACTAGGTTCCAGTTGGTACATGGTTGCCAGTGATTCTTCAAGATGCCATGCGGCATATCTTTCAACGCTGCCTTGTAGAAACAACAAGTGATACATTGGATCTTATCCAAGAGGTAAGTTATTGCAACTGGTTCATGCTCCCCTTACCCCACACACACTAATATTCTAAAAATTAAAAATAGAGGGAAAAGGCAATTACAATCAAATTTAAGTTTAAGAGCACTATTTCTGGCCATTTAGTAATGTCATATATAAAATTTTTGTATTAGTTTGTATCTATGTAATTCCCTCTTCATGTTTCCTTGTTCCCTGTATTTCAAATTCCTAAATGCGCTACTGTAGACGTGCAGTATGTTCCTTTTTGTGCAATATGCATGTTAAACAACACAGTATACTATTTCAAAAATAGTAAGGATTGTCTTTATGGACTTGCCATACCACCATCAGAAGAACCCCACTGAAAATAGGTCTTTGAAATTTTGTCTTTCACACTAAGAAATTAGATTTTATCCATTAGTATTAATGTGTGCATGCTTTTTTCTTATGTAGGTTTGGGATGCCATTTTACAAAAAGCAGTGTTACAAAATATACTGCAAGCAACGATCCCATGGTACAGTGCATGGCTTAGTCTGTGTATGCAGTCATCAAAATTGCCACTAGACAGTAATCTTCTCATCAATTCTACCTATAGAAATAAGGTAATATAGGTCTCCCTCCAATTAAATATCACTATTGGGACCAGGGTTCCGTGGTCCATGGTCTTTCGTCGTAGAGGTCGCAGTCCTCTTTACCCTCCGCGCGTGTCATAAATTACACAGTGACGGATAAGAGATTACATCGCGATAGGCAAAAGCGGTACTATCATTTAACGTGATAGTACTTTTCCTCCCTGGAATTTATGAACTATCATACAACCTACATCATAGGAATGATGGTTGAGTTACTGCCCACTTGTTAACCAATCAGATGCCTGAAATATACTGTGTTTACATGTATGCGGTATATAGAATCGTGTGCCACAAATATGAGCATTAACAAGTATTGATACAGCATATTGTTAAATCTGATGAATTAAATATTTATCTGGATCATTATAACTTGTGATTTTTTTTTTTTTTTTATAATTAGACTGCAAACAAAAGTCCCAAAGGTCAACAACAAGTCAAAGAAAAATGTCAGGAATTTCTTGGCGGTGCTACATCAATTGCTGACGATAACGCAGAGCATGATTTGGCCGTAGTGCAGGCAAGGACCCGAGCTACACGGTAAGCATTGACCAAACTTAAACATTGTCTGTTTGGATAACCCAATATAAAATCCAATGACAAACACAAAGAAAGGGATACTCAATACCGGCCAATTTTGTCGTGAGACAAAAGTATTTGTATATAGCGACCTCTATGTAATACATAATCGCAAAATATAGTGCCCTCTTTGTTATTTTTTTTATTGTAGTGCAACAGCCATGGTTACTTTCCGCAGTCATTATTACTGCTATGCTAATGTATTAAGCATTTTTCTTTAATTAGTAAAAACATGTTGTTTTTAATTTTGCAGTTTGATTGGTAGATTGTCTGCTAGACTGACCTCTGAAATGGTTCACTTACCAGATCTGCCATTGGATGGTAATGCAGCCAGTTCCATTTGCCAATTACTAGAGCATTACCTGAGCAGTAATTCAGCGGTGCTGAGAATGGTCGTTGGTATGATTATTGAGGAATGGTCTGTACAGGATGAAGTAAGCAGTTCCTAAATCCCCCAGACTATCAAATTGTATTTGTTAAAGAACTGTTGTATGGCTTTATATACTGTAGTCATGATGTGCCTATATATGGTAATATCATAATGTTGACCATAATTCAGCACGCCACATACTTTGGTAGTGTGGACAAACCCTTACTTGTGCAATATTTGCACATAAATGCTCTGTCCACTTTATCGAGTTTCATGTGACAAATAAATGTGACATATACAGTATGGGCATGTCACAGACTTTGTGTCACATAACACATAATTGTGTGGACAAAGATCTGATTGATAAAAAAAAGTTCTTTATTTAATCTAATTTTCTTTTACTTGCTGGCATTGTTCTTTATTGTGATCAATGAAGCTTAAACAAATATACTTTAAAAAAAATATGAATTTGCATTTATTTAGTCTTGTAAGTGCACAGAATCTGTCAAGTTAAAACTGATGGAGATGTTGAATAACAATGTGTACTTCGAAGAAGTTTCCTCCTCATTTATGCGGATGCAGACTGAATGTAAGGTAAGTTTATTTGCAACTACGTATCACATAATCAAATGAAATTAAAATCAGTTGGTTAGGTTTACTATAAGCAGCCTGCTATTGGCCAGTTAAGTTTGAGCTTTGCTTGGCTGCTGTTGAAATCAATGGTTTTTTTAACCATAGTTATAGAGGCTATGGGAATCCTGGAATATGTCATCCATGCTAAATTTTTTTTTTTTTCAGGCCTTAGTTACAATGTGGATTGAAGCTCGGCCAGATTTGAGGAACAATAGTTTTCCAAAGTAAGTTGTCCCTTTTGGCTGGAATTGTACATTAAAAAAAGAACATAATTAATGACAAGTTGACTATACTGCCTACTTAAATGGAACTGTAGTAGATTGAAAAAAATGGAGTGTAGAAGTTCTTGTTTGGTCTTTACTGAGAATATTTGCTTAAACAATAAATGGAACCATCTTTTCTTAACTAGATTACCCTTGGAAAATATTAGAATATTCTTTCCAAGGGTATTGCGTAATGAAACCACAATATGCATGGCTTCATTTCTTTTTTATTTAGCTCCTAGCCTAGAGTGGTTGAAATATATGCCTGTATCATTAGAAATGATTAGAACAAGATTACTACTACCAGATTTATTTTGCTACAAATGTCTTAACAGTTTTGAAATATTTTAGCATGTTTACAGTAGACCAAGCCATACCATTTGCTGATTCCATTTACGGTATGCTGGGTCAAAGCCGAATGCACCCTAAGATGAAAGACAGTTTAACTCAGAAGTGCCAGAAAGTGCAGGCCGTTGGAGCAGAGGTCAGGAAAGAACAGCAAGTACTGACAGTTAGGTACTGTGAAGAAGTATTAACCTCTTGAAATTTGATCAAAGTAACCACTTGAATATGTGAAGCAGTATTAACCTCTATGAGTGTTTTTGTTAATAACCACTTGAATAGCCTGTTTATCATGCAAAGTTTTTTACCCATATCTTACAGAGTGCAGTGCTGTCTGGCAGCAGCAGCAGTAAGTTTGAAATTCCTACCAGAAAAGTTAAACCCTATCATCAAGCCTCTGATGGAGGCGATTAAGAAGGAGTGGAACCCACTTATACAGGTAACAATTACACCTGCTTCAAACTATAAAATCTGTATTGAGTTTACCTTATATAGAAACAAGGGTCATTATAATAGAATTTTCTTACTGATAGATGTTCAAGTGAGTGGTGAATATAGCAATCCAAGGTATATAGTGCATTAAATTTATACAAACATTTTTTGCCCTCGATATATTCTAATCTCTTTATATAATGAATTTAATTTTTAGAGTCGAGCAGCAACAGCGCTGGCAAAACTACTTGAACAATGCATTTCCAGGACTCCATGCCCTAACCCGAAAATAATCAAAAACCTTTGTTCATTTCTTTGCTGTGATTCAACTCAAACTCCAAACGTTGTGACCCCAATCAACCCACTTGAAATGCAAATGACCTGCTCTGGGTCATCATCCTCACGGCCAACAACTCCAATCAACACGCCACTTGTTATGGAAGCAGCTGTTTGTGGGAAGACTTATGGAATACTGACCCTTGCCAAACAGCAACAGGTATGTAAAATCTTTCAATTACATATGACATTTTCCTCGTGTTAAATTTTGTTATGGTGGATTTATAGTGTAATGCTTATACATATACTTACTGTATTGGAATGCATAACTGCTAATGTAAATTGTTTATGTTGCAGAGTTTTACGTCATCATCATAGCCTACAAGCTAACATTTACTTCATTATTTAATCCGATGATCGGGGTAATGATAATATGAAGCGCATAGAGGGCTTAGCAATATGTGCTATATAAGTCTACCATTATTATTATTATTATGTAAAGCAGGGCACGTTCTGCACCGACACTTTTCTATGGAGACAATCACAATGAAGCATGTGATGGATTTTTTTCAATGACAACCCGTGCAGACAGCCACCACACAATCAGCAGATGGCATTGCGTCGTCAAGTGCTCACACAGAACAAAGATGGACCCATCAGCCATCTGTCGATTGATGCAGTGTTTGTCTGTCTTAAATCCCTATGAGTGGAGAATGTTAAGCATTGTGTAAGTCTGAGTGGAGGAGGCTGAACTTTGTGGAAGACCTTGCAAGTACCATATATTTAATATTTCTCACTCTCAGTTAAACTTTGTTTTTTTCAGGCGGCAGCATTATCTGCTGTGTCTAGACGGGCAGCATTCGCTAAATCACGCAGCAAACACAGCAATACAAGCCAAAATTCAAGTGTAGAAACGAGTGTCGAAATTCCAAACTTTAGTGATATTATGAGCGAGGCGAAAGAGCAGGAGAAGCTTCAGCGTCGAGGGGCAGAGTTTGCTGTCGGAAGCCTGGCGCTTCATTTTGGTGATAGGTTGTTTGTTGTTCTTGACAAGCTTTGGATGACGATCACCAGTGTTTTGCAAACAAATATAAAGCCACATAAATTTGGTATTTATTTATTTTGTATTCCAAGTATATATAACTATAGAACCATCTTTGCTTATTTTTTTATCCTTATATTCTATTATTATTCTTATTATTGTTATTGTTATTATCAACCACAGTTGCTAGTTTTTGTACACTTTAAAAATGTGACTTATACCTGATTTACATATTCATTGCCCCTACACTCATAAAATGTTCCTTCAAATTTTTGCCTATTTTCTTTCTTCACAGATGCCACCTTTTATGAAGACAAAAATGACCTTGCTCAAGAGATTGTAAATTCTTTCCAAGTTCTAGAGGTTATATCACCAAACACACACCAAAACCTTAACCCGCAGGTAAAGATTTGGAATAAGCTACCATGCATATTGAGCCTGGTTTCTGTAAAAGAGTTTTCGGCAATCCTGATTGGTCAGTTGAATGAGGGAGCCTTCTTGATTGCTTTTGGGATAGCTATGTAGTGTAAAACTTGCAGTGAAAACACTGTAGTAAAGAATTAGGCTTTATCACCTTTGATTCCTGGTAAAGAATATTGACTTCCAATGATACATATATCAAAGTTTTCTTTGATTTACCATGTTCTCCAATTACTTTAATTTTACAGTTAGAAAGTCTACTTCCATATATCATTGCCTGTCTGAGTTACCCATACACAGCTGTCCGCCATCTTGCCTCTCGTTGCCTTGGAGTATTAAGCAAAGTGTCAACAGTAGCCTGTATGAATAAGATATTAGAGGATGTTAAACCAATGCTTGATGCAGCAGACAATGAGATCAAACGTCAGGGTGCGATTGAGGCTTTAGCTAGTATCCTTTCATTAAGATCACAAATGTTTGTATAGGTGTAATGTAATTGTTATATTTATGTGGTATTATACATATGTTATTTTGAACACCGTGTAACAACTAGATGTATCTGGATAAAACCGGATCAATCTAGTTTTGGTTAAAGAATTGTTGTTGTCTTGACACCACCTTCAGATGTTATTGACCTTTTGGGCATTGATCTTGTGCCTTATATCGTGCTCCTGGTTGTACCAGTCCTAGGTAGAATGAGTGATCAAGTAGAGTGCGTTCGTTTGATGGCCACACAGTGCTTTGCGACACTCATCCGGCTTATGCCTCTAGAGGTGAGTATATCATCCTGAAAAGCACAATGTAAAATCATAATAAGAGTTTAATAAGATGGCTGGCTGCACCTCCATAAGCAAAAAGATTCCTGCATTTGCCATACAAAGCAGTACTGTGCTATAATGGGCTTGATCATTCTATATCACAGTCAAAAATCAGAAGACAAATTGTTGAAAGTTTACTTTTATTTAATTTTCACCAACAACTTTATTTTTTCCAGGCTGGTATTCCAGACCCACCTTCAATGACAGCAACCTTGATAGAGCAGAAGGTGCGAGAGAGGTGCTTCTTAGAACAATTGTTAGATAGCAGTAAGTTAGAGAATTACAGGGTACCAGTAGCAATCAAAGCTGAACTCCGCAAATACCAACAGGTATGGGAAGAAGCAGTGACATTAAATAATATATTTATCTGCTGTATGCAATGCTCTTAAGGTCACTAATTAAAATTTTTTTAAATTTTTTTAAGGATGGTATTAACTGGCTGGCTTTTCTGAATAAGTACAAATTACATGGAATTCTCTGTGATGACATGGGCTTAGGCAAGACATTAATGTCTCTTTGTATCATTGCTGGAGATCACTTCCTGCGACAAAAGGAATACAAAGTAAGTGGAGAGTTGTAGAGGGTTGATTGCTGGTAAATATCACTAAGATTAATCTATTTTTAGCCATTTGACCAAAGTAATGGGATCAATATGAATTAGGAGGCCGAGTATTGCTGATTTGAGTTAATGGGTTCACATATATTTTATCAGTGTTGTTTTGTTATCTTTAAGGCTTCCCAGAACCCAGCTTGTGCCCGGCTTCCATCCATTGTGATCTGCCCGACCACATTGACAGGTCACTGGGTGTACGAAGTAGAGAAGTTTTGTGCCAAGGAGCACCTCCACCCTCTGCATTATACTGGACCCCCAAATGAACGCATCAGGTAAGAGTAGTAGTGCATACTGTACATTATATTAAAGGTTAAAGGTTATACATTTACATTGCGCAAAATACAGGAGTCTCTATGCGCAAAACAAGTGAGCAGTTGTAATTGGAAAAAAAAACAAGAAAAGAGGGCATATATTTATCAAGAAGCCAAACGATGCACACATTAGGTAAAAACACTGGCATGTCTAAGTTTGGGCCCTGGAAAAATTAGGAATTTTAATGATTCTTTTGTAATTTCAATCTTGATTTTCTTTCAGATTGAGAAGTAAGATGAAGCGTTGCAACTTAGTAGTGGTTTCTTATGATATACTCAGAAATGATATTGATTTCTTCGGGTTAGTTTTCATCAATTCATTTTCCTCAAATGTCTATGTAAAGAAAGATATATAATTTCTCTTTAATAATCTGTTTGATTTTCAAACTGTGAATTATTTTCTTATCGTTCAGAGATATCAAATGGAACTATTGTATTCTGGATGAAGGGCATATTATCAAGAATGGCAAAACAAAAATAGCTAAATCTATTAAGCAGCTTATAGCAAACCACAGACTGATCTTATCTGGCACACCTATTCAGGTAATGGAATCTCCTTATATTGAAAAGCGTCATTAAGTTTAGGATTATTTTTCTTGTTTTAATTATTTTTTTTTATTTTAAAAGTAAAATATATAATGTAAATGTACATATAGTTAAATGCATTAAGTATTAAATTTAATTGTATCAACATAAGCATACTTTTTCTTTTATAGAATAATGTCCTGGAGTTGTGGTCATTGTTTGATTTTTTAATGCCTGGATTTCTGGGGACTGAAAAACAGTTCATTGCTCGTTATGCTAAGCCAATTCTACAAAGCAAAGATGCAAAGAGCTCCACCAAAGAACAAGAAGCTGGTAAGAATCATAAACCTGGCGCTCTATTAGAATTTGAATAGGTTTAAAAACTTGAGCACATGTTCGATATGGATGCCTTTTACGTTCTTTTGAAGGGCGCCCTCTAATTTGTGGTAATACTTTTCGAGATAGGATTCTGTTTCAACTAAATCTCAACAGTCCGACTTCTTGCAATTCTATACACTTTAGTTGGACCCTGATAAACTTCTTGGACACTTGCCTGCAAATATCTTCTGCATGATGATAATAAAGATGATTTTGACAATGATTTTATAGTGATGATGATGATAATGATATAATAATGATGATGTTACTCCCATCAAGTATATTTCTCCTGTCCATAGGTGCTCTTGCAATGGAAGCCCTCCATCGACAGGTTCTTCCATTCCTCCTGCGTCGACTCAAAGAAGATGTACTAGATGATCTTCCACCCAAAATCATCCAGGATTATTACTGTGAGCTGAGTCCCCTCCAGGTAGGTGGAGCAACGTGAATGACATTCTATATAACATGTCAGTCATATGCAAGTATTCAGGATGCAAAACCCTCCAAGTTTTGACAAGGATTTGGTTCCTGCATGAGCAGTTTACAGACAGAAAAGCCTTCAAACGTACATTAGTGTTACCTTTTAGAGAAGGACTTAACACAGTAATGGAGAAATGAACCTGATTGGTTAATTGATTGATTGATATCATTGTGTTCTTTCTTAACAGGTTCAACTCTACGAGGACTTTGCTAAGTCAAGAGCCAAGAGGGGGGTTGAGGATGCTGTCCATAGCAACGAAGGTGAAAATAAACAAAGAATTCCACAGAAAGGATCCACACACATTTTCCAGGTCTGTACCAATAATCTATTTGTAAGAATTATAGTATTGTTAATTAACCTCAATTGGTAATGTGCACTTTGAGTAAATAAGGCCACTGAACATTGTATTCTGCTGTGGATAATGACTACACACATCCTTGTTGTGACTGAAGTGAAATGCAATAATAATATTAATGACATACTCAGTTGCAGCATTGTGCTTTTCCAAAACAATTATTCATGTAAATTATATCAGAATTAAAAAATTCTGGTTATCAAAGTTAAAAGTTACATGTAGACTATTCTTTGCACCCACACATACTTACCAGTTGAGAAGTATTGTTGAGGGGGTGTTTGTTTGAGGGGTACATTTATTGCAATTGAGGCTCTTGAGGGGGATGTTTATTGAAAGCGGGGCGTTTATTTGAATAAATACGGTATGTTATTTTGTACATCAGGCACTCCAATATCTTCGTAAAGTTTGTAACCATCCATTATTAGTGGTGAATCAGAAGCATCCACAGTACGATAACATCACTCGGCAATTAAAGGAGCAGAACTCATCACTCAATGACATCCAACATGCACCGAAGCTAACTGCTCTCAAGTAAGCTCCACTTTTCTTAGTCAAGTTTATATTTTATTCAGGTTTAGGCACAAGGGCAAAGGATGTGACAAGCTTTCGTCCACACTTTGGACCTCTTCAGGAATTATCTCAGTCTCTTGGGGAAGTCCACAATGTAGAAGAAAGACAGAGAATTTAATAAATTTATGGGTAGTCTTTAAAGTGCTGAGTGTATTGACATATTGACAAAATCAACTCCACTCCCTAAGTCCCATAAAGAGAGTAGCAGGTGTACTTGCTAGTAGCAGGTGTACTTGCTGTTGGAAGTGAGGGAAATAAAAATATGTATTGTTTTAATTTAGATTAATGTAGCTACAGTTGCTATTCATTATTCATTACCGATGATTTTATGTACAGTATTTTACTACTGGCTTGTTATTTTTTAGACAACTTCTACTTGACTGCGGCATAGGTGGTAATGATGAGGACAACCAGGATGAGATCGGTGGCGCTGTTGTCTGTCAACATCGAGTGCTACTCTTCTGCCAGCTGAAGAGCATGCTGGACATTGTGGAGAAAGACCTTCTGAAGTAAGTAAATGCTAACCTGTCAATGTGACAGCTATTGATTGAAATCGTGGGAAGGGTTGAGTGGTTAAGGTGCTTGCCTTCCAATTCCAGGGTCCTGGGTTCAATTCCTGTCACGGTAACAGGATTGTTTCTGAGACTTGACTACGATGAGAATCTTGTGCTTATGTTGGACTTGTGAAGGGATATGCCACTTAAAGAAGTGACTGTTGCTCCTTGGGCCTAAAACAATTGATACAATCAATAAATCTCATTGTAAAACTCTTTATTGTGTAACTTACAACAGCCAGCACATTTTAAAACTAATTAGCTGCTGTTTTTCAGATCCCATCTACCAAAAGTAACTTACAGGCGCTTAGATGGAAGTGTCCCAGCTGGTAGTAGGCATGACATTGTAAACAGGTATCTGCATCATAATTATAAATTTTTATAGTAATTATAACATTTATTACATTATATAACATTAATTTTCAGAATATTCTTTATAAGTGCTTTCTAGTTTTTAGTACACATGATTATGTCAAAGGTTAAGACAAAATAGACCATTATACAGCTTGTACTATTTTCTGATTTTTTAAAAAAGTGTTAATTACTTAATAGTTTTGATTAGTATTAGGGTACATAGTAGATGATTACTGCAATCACTCTGCAACAACTATTTAACAATAAAACTATAAAATGCAGATGGTAGCTATGTACATTTATGTTCATATGCCATGATCTTTGACATGTAGACATGCACTTGAAACTATAAGGTGTTTATTATTACTGTATGGTTGGTATATTATAGCAAAATACTGCAACCACATTTCAACAACTATTAATAAAACTCTATGAAATTAAGATGATAAAGCTGTTTTTTCCCTTGATCTTGACAAACCTAAAACTATAATGTGATATATTATTTTCATATCTCTTTTAAAGGTTTAACAATGACCCATCTATTGATATTCTTTTACTAACAACACACGTTGGTGGCCTTGGGCTCAATTTAACTGGGGCAGACACTGTGATTTTTGTGGAACATGATTGGAATCCAACAAAGGATTTGCAGGTAGGCTGCGTACCGTTATACAAACAGAACAGATTGGCATTTAATTTTTTGTTTAATTCCAACCATAATTTTCAATCCAGCAAAGCAGCAATATTGTGTGTTATACATATGTTTCAGTAAACAGTATTTTACTGCATGTGTCTTGTTTCATAATAGTATCAGTATGTTGTACATTGAATTTGCACTTATTGGATGATAACATTTCTTTTTTAAATTTCTAGGCAATGGATCGTGCACATAGGATTGGTCAGAAAAAGGTAGTGAACGTATATCGTTTGATCACCAAGGGAACCTTAGAAGAGAAAATAATGGGGTGAGTAAAATATTTTTTTAACGTTATAGTAATAAAATTTGTGGGGCTGAGATCAGGGGTGGTGTCAGCTGGGCCAGGAGATCCCCGTCTGTCGGGGGAAAGACATAATTCGTCGGGCAGAAGAAAAAATTATTTGTAATGTTTACATATTAGTAGACTCTAAAATCGGTTAAATAAGCCTATGAAACCCCTAAATTGTCATAGTTTCCGGAGGATTCGTCCGCTGGATCACTTCACCCCATATATCACTTTTAGCAGATTTTGAGTGACGTCTGACCACACCCATTTACGCTCTCGTTGGGGACAGCAAAAGCCCATGTCAGACAAATCCTGGCACCACCATTAAACTATAGAACTCCACTATTTAAAAAAAATTAATTTCATGTTTTTACAGGCTTCAGAAGTTTAAAATGAACATTGCTAATACTGTCATAAGTCAAGACAACTCAGCCCTTCAGTCAATGGCTACAGAGCAGCTGCTAGATCTCTTCTCTCTAGACAAGGTAAAATGATTTTTAAAAAACCAGTTGTATGCCCATATATATTCATGATGTGTCTATATATGGTCATGATGTGATATCATAAATAGTATGAATGTTGTTTAATGTAATATTATAATCTATTTGGGATGAAAGTCTTTTTAATTTCACCTTATATTTCACTTTAGCGCTTATTAGAAAGCGGCACTTAAATATATCCTATGTGAAGCCGTCTAGATTATCAAATTTTCTTGGACAAAAAACTTTTGTATGCCCATATATAGTTATAATATACCCATATATGGCCATGATGTGATGTCATCAGGCCATATTTAGGCATGTCACATGTTTTTGTCAAATAAAATTTAATAGTCTGGACAGGATTTTATTGTTCACTTTTATAAGATATGAAAAAATGTGCTTGTTTTCCTATTTACCAGGGTAACCAGAGTTCCATTGATCAAACAGAGGAGAAGGACACACCCCAGTCCATGAAAGCAGTGATGTCTAACCTAGGCGAGCTGTGGGATGACAAGCAATATGAGAATGAGTATGACCTGTCCAGCTTTATGCAGTCACTAACATAAGTTGAGCGGGACTCATTAGCAACAATATGAGAATGAGTATGACCTGTCTAGCTTTATACAGTCACTAACATAAGTTGAGCGGGACTCGTTAGAAACAGTATGAGAATGAGTATGACCTGTCCAGCTTTATGCAATCACTAACATAAGTTGAGCGGGACTCATTAGAAACAGTATGAGAATGAGTATGACCTGTCCCGCTTTATGCAATCACTAACATAAGGTTGAGTGATACTCATTAGAAACAATATGAGAATGAGTATGACCTGTCCAGCTTTATACAGTCACTAACATAAGTTGAACAAGGCCTCAGGGGAAATTTGGGATGCAAACAATATGAGAATGACATATCATTTTGTTTAGGCTGTTTTGACCACAAAACAATTTTAATACTGTGCGCATGTACGAAAGGCAAAAATGAACAGATTGAGTGCACCGCACGGCGCAATGTTTGGACGATTTCATTATCCGAAAAGGGTATATAAAAATGCACTTCGTTAACTTGTGAACACTATTAAAAATAAATTCCCAATCTATTCATAACACTGTAAAAATGGACGTCCAATATCAAGCGTATTCATTTGTTGAATTTTAACAAGTCTTTGATTCAGCAGGTACCATATTTGTATCAGTTCACAAAATGTAACGCGCCTGGATTCCTGGGCCGGCTGTGACCTCTGTCAGTTTTCCTTTTTCAAAGCCTATAAGAAAATGCAAAAATGACGGAAGAAAATGTTATCCAATGAGATTATATTTAATATAGAAATGATTGCCTTTCTGTTTCTGCTTCAACCTTAAGCAAATGGATTGGTATAGGCAAAGTTATGACGTAAATAAACAACTCCACAAATCCCGCTGAAAACACGCTAATATCACTTATATTTTCGTAATTCAACCGAAAAATGACGGAGCTAAATATTTGAAAACAAATATTTTGTAAATTCTTTACAACAGCTATGTTTATAACTTTCTATAAACCGTTTCAACTTAAGTGATCCGACCTCTAGTTTTTAAGTTTCCGTTTTTGGAGTAACATTAGTTGATGTTTTGAAGAAACGCTAATGGTTAAGAGGTGGACCAAGCAAATCTAAGGAAATGCTGAGTTGGATGAACTGAGTAACACTCTGTTATTTAAGAGTAATATTCAATGTGGTGAATCAGAGCGATATCTAATAAAGTAATTATGATTGGTAAAGATGTAATATTCTGTGAAACAGTGGTGGTTCAAGGTTTTGCCTGCGGAGGGTTCGAGGGTTACATGGGGAAAAGCCATTTTGATTTTAGTGCCTCATAATGTGTAAAAATTATTTTGGAATTTTTTTCTCCTCAACGGTTTGTGTTAATTCTTGATGGTAGGAAGGAACTCTTCCACAATTGGGGGTAGGGGGCCCAGCCATCTCAAAATACTATTTTGAAATTTAATTTTGAACGAACATGGGCAATGTAGGCCTATAGAAATCTGAAAGTTGTGGAATTGAGCTGTTGCTAGGCAGTTAAAATGCTTACAGTGTGTTTGTTTTCTCAAAACTAAAAACCACTCCCTTATGTGATGCAAGACTTCGTTTATTGAGCATTTATGCTCTGTGTAAAGACTAGATTTTTTCACAATTCAATTCAATATGTATAAAATTTATTGTAAATACTTTTTAATAGGTTGTTTCCTTCTTTTTCTATTTTATATGTTATTAAATTAAGACATACTTTTATATTACATTTTCATTTTAGAAAAAAAATGTATTCGTGTTGAGAAGAAAACATGAGTGAAAAAGACATGCCTTATTTAAAGTTTATTTGAAAGAGATTAAAATCTTATACATTTCACTTGATCTTGTTCTTTTAATTCATGTGGTTGTTGTCAGCTCAGCCAGTAGCAAAATTAATTAATTCATTATATTTTCAAATCAGAAATAAAATCCATATTTTGTAAGCATGTACCTGATATTAGCAGTGGCGGATTCAAGAGGGGCGGGGGTGGGGGAGAGCCAGATACAATATCCTTGAAAAAAGCGGAATTCTAAGGTAATTTATCCTGAAAAGACAGAATTCTAAATAAATATAATAATAATTTATGTCGGAATGGCAAAATTCCAGGAAGATTTCAGGAATGACTATGGAAGATTCCAGGAATGACTATGGCAAAATAAGTTTAAACTACTCCATGGAAAGACGGAATTCCTATTAAATTGATATTGGAAAGACGGAAATCTGGTTTCACGATTATCAAGTAAACTTTGGAAACTCCGAAGGTCACTAGCTTTTTCGTATTAGTTAATTAGTACATGCATCTAAAGATTCACTGATTAATCTCAGATAAGATAGTATAATACATACTCCAAGTATCGAAATGCAGGCCATTGTGTCGGGAGTCAATATTTCGACATTAATTACGTTATCATCAGGAATTTCTGATGATCACATAATTAATGTCGAAATATTAAATCCCGACACGATGGCGTGTATTTCGATACTTGGCGTATGTATATTATACTATCTTAGTACATGTATTGTACTAGGAAAATATAAATGTACCGTAACTTTTCAATGATAAGGTTAGGCCAGATTTCCGAAACCCAGTTTGCTGAATGCCAGATTGCCGAGTCCACTTTTTAATAAAACGTAAATTAAGGGTTTGTTAAGGGTTTAGGCCCGATTGCCGTAGTAGTAAAAGCAATGTTATTGTTTTCGCATGATTATGACTTCATTTTAATTGATTTGTGAAATTATTTTTTTATCGTATGCACGATAAATCGTTATCGAATCGTGCTAGTGTACAAACTTCTCATTTCTTTTATTTTGTATATGAACAATTACTTTTTATCGTTGATCGTTATCGTCATAAAGTAAACAGGCCTTAAAAGTAAAAAAGGCTTTGTTTGCTTAATAAAATTCGAACTCATAGCTTCCGTCCAGGTACCACTGAAACTGAAAACAACACAAAGATATTTATAAAATTAACTACTTCTAATAATACACCCTCCATTTTAAGTCTTTTTAAATTTTCCCTATTTTTAAAAACAACTATATTACTTTTTTTATATTAACTGTAGGACCCATTTGTCACAATATGTGCTCGAGTGAGCAATCCAAAAACTGTGTCGTTAATATGGACAAGGTCATCTGTAAGTGGTTGAGAATATATTGCCAAATTGAATTTTGTTTATATTTTCAGAAGAAGACAATGGTGACCCTTGTTGGATACTTATTTAACATCTCTGAATGGATTACTTATTAGTGTTACCGGTTTTGACGTGGGTGAATGAAATTGTACATAATATTGAAATAATAATTATTTTCAAAATATTATTTTGTTTTAAATATGCTTTTTCAAAACAAATATAAGAAAACGGTGGTGTCATCAGAGTCGGAAGCAGGTTTTAAATCAATAAAATGTGCGACATAAAATATTCTTCCACGTTTTTTTTTTTTTTTTTTCTATAAATAGGCCTACTAATGAATTATTGTGTTTAAAATAAAAAAACATTATCAGTGTCTATGGACTATATAACCAAATATGGAAAATTCATTATGATAATGATAAATTTCCGTAGCCTGAGTATTGTCTGTCGTATAAATAACCACGGGGCCTTCTAGAAGAGTAAACTGATCTGCGTCCGATTATACGCCTCCAATACATTCTCAATACCACATAAAGAAGAAATAATAGGAAATGACACAGTTGAATTGCTCAAGATATTTCTATTGTATCACACACAAAGCACCAAATCATCTATCTACAGTAATCATAAGCGGAAAAAATCTAAACACACTTCAGTAATTAGGTTGGGGTGTGTTTTTTGTTTCATCAGATCAGGAGAGAAGAGATTACATAATGTATACTGAATGGCGGAACCTGAAATTTGAAGAAGAGTTGACCAGGGGTGGCGCATGCAGTGGATCCCCCCCCCCCGCCCATCCCCAACTCCGCGATCCAGGACTCGAGAAAAGCCACAATTCCTCGGGGCCCATTAGTAGACCCTAACATCGATTAAAGCCTTTGAAATCACTAAATTGTCATATTTTTCCCCCGAACCACATTCAAAAGTTTTTCAGCGACTTGTAGGACTTTCACAGATGGAGGGTAAGAACATTTATGATAGGCCTATGGCACCTCAAGATGGCCGGAAATGGCACTGTCAGACTTAAAATATAATTTTCTTTTTTTCTACATTTTTATTATAATTTTAAAAAATTAGGAGGGGGCGGGCCGAATGGGTCCCCTTGAATCCGCCACTGGTCAATCGTGGTAGTTTCACGTCGAGTCGTATATGCAATAACCAACTATGAATATTTGAATATATTTCAAACTTCCGATGGACGGAGACCACGTTTTGGTCGGCACCTGTTTTGTTATTTTCTTTTAATCAGTGGTGGATTCAAGGAAGTAGTGGGAGGCACCCGGCCTGGGACTTCCCTAAATTTATCAAAATTGTAAAAAATTGGAGAAAAAAAGAAAATTACATTTAAATTTTAAGTCTGAGAGTGCCATTTCCGGCCTTCTGAGGTGACATCGTAAATTTTCTTATCTCAGCCCCAACTATGGTCGGGCTAGGGTGGTACCCTCCATCTGTCAAAGTCCCTCCCTGGCCCCCCTCTTTCAATTTCCTGGATCCGCCACTGTCAATGTAAAATATACAGTGTATTCTATTGAGCTTAGATTTACTATAGAACAATATATAAAACAAAATCTTCAGATACACTTCAGAAGTTCATAATTAAGGAGCATCCTCCAGTTTCGGGTCCAATATCTCGAAATAGAGGAGTCCCAAGGAGGGGTTTCACGGACTGAAGGTGTAGACCACTTCAACCCCAAATGACAATCTGTGATTATGACACCAGACGAAAATGGCACTCTCAAAATGTATATTTGCTTTTTTTCCCCTTAATTTTTTTATTATAATTTTTGATTTATTAAAATTCAGAGGGGTAGGCCTATCTGACCCAGACCGACTGGACTCATTACTTGTATTATCAAGGGCTGATGGGGAGGGGAGAATGAATGTGCAGAGACACACCGTCCTGACAAATGAGATGATATGAGTACGGTACGGATTTGAGTGTTATTTTTCTCAAATTATGGATGGGATGGTGCCTGGCTGGAGGCTCAACATCCCCCCCCCCCCGTCTCTGTTGCGCAACTTCAGTACCGATTTCAATTAGAATATAGACACCAGAGAACTGACTCTACTTGCCCAGTTGGCCGAATGCCAAATTGCAGACTTGCAGACTTTGCCAAATTACAAAATGTTGGGAGATCCAGTTTGCCGAATCCCATATGCCGAAACTCGGTATATCAATTTAAGAGTATAAGAATTAACAGCAGTATAAAATATTATAGGTACCGATCTCTTTTTTTCTATTTACACTTGAATTTCCCACTGTCCCAAATTATTAGAAAGCATAATATTTTTTATTATCTTTAGGCCTATACTTTACTATTCACCGGCTTTAAATCTCGTAACTCGGCCCCAACTATCGTGGGGCTGAGGTCAGGGATAGCGCCATTGGGGCGGGCGTCGGGGGGAGCTGCACATACGTCCCCCCCCCCACACTCCCGGAGAAACCACATTCGTCGGGGAGAAACTTCGGCGGATACAGGGGTGCAGACGGTGCGATCGCACTCCACATCAAATCTCCCGTCGGGGGCATCGGCAAACCATGGAGCCTCCTCTGGCTTGTTGTGGGCTACTAAAGACGTGCACCTGTATCCGCATCTGTCAAGTCCCCTCCAGGGCCCCCTATTTGATTCTTGATTCGATCGCCACTGAATTTTTTAAAGATGACTTAATATTAACTGATGACTTATGTTTAAATGTTTAACTGTTAAAACGAAATATAAGAAAACTAATTCTAGTATCACAATTACGATTACCTCCTTAATTTCAGCTATGTAATTATTAGTTGAAGGATCTGTCTCTTATACACATCTAGATGTGTATAAGAGACAGCCCTTCTACAGAATTAACAGTTCACATGACATTGCATAACTTTAAGCGAGCCTCTTTTTGTATACTTTGGAACTTCCCAGATTCCCATAACGTCATACAGAACCTATACTCGCTGATGACTAAGTACATACTGCTACAGCAGCAGTACAGCTATTGGAAAACGACAATACTGTTGTGTACCGCCGTCGTACCAGGAAGCTATAGAATACATCATCACACCCAGAATCCATTGCGGTAATTGTAATAGGAAATACGACAACATCCACATTTAGCGTGTTTTTCTCGCCTTGAAAGGAAATTATTATCTTATTTTATAGTAAAACTACACTATTGAACCAATAGTGCCGACCTTCATGTGTTGATTGAAGTGATATACTTGTGGTATTTGGGTATTTTAACTCACAAACACTAATTTTCGAACACTATCGGCAATGGAAGCCATAGCAACTTATGATTTTACAGCGTCAGATGATGACGAACTTTCATTTCGCAAAGGCTACGTTTTAAAGGTAAATTGTATCCAATAACATAGTAATATGTAGGCTGAAGTACATATTTATAATTAAAGGCATATTTTCTTTGCTCGTCTGCTAACCTAGAATGCTATTTTAATCATTTCACATGTGATAGTCAGCGTAGCCTAGGCAGACAAGGGCCCGGGGTCTAGGCCTCTAGGCCTAGCCTAGGACTAGGCTACTGCTGCTAAGAAAGCCCCTGGGTGGCTTAGCCTAGGCTTGCTAGAAACAAAGACAATCTGGTCCAGGATTGTTAATATTGTTTAAATCCATGATGAGACGATCGGTCTTGATCTTGATAGTGTAATTTATAAACTCCGGCTGGAGTACCACCTAATGATGGTCCATTTTAAGACAATTCAATATTTTATTTCCTATAATTATATATCGGGCCAAATGTATGATCAGGCAAGTTTGCTTGAAATTTCTGGCTCTTTACTGTTACTAGGGCCCAGCCTGTACTACTGCCTAGCCTAGGAAAAGGCCTAGGTCTAGCTGACTAGGCCTAGGGTAAGTCGCTTATTTTCGACCTGCGTTAGTTTTCGACCACTTCAGTTTTCGACCTCCCCATTTCCCAACCCCCAGGTTTAATAACTATTTTGTAATTATCCTTTCTATGTCACTAAAATGATGTCATTTTACGATGTGAAAAGTGTGATTCACAGACCCTCGAACAGAATGAGTTGAGGGCGCTCTTGTTTAATGGTTAGGCCTACCATCCAATGGCTACATGGCGATTGGAGAAGTAAAGAGATTGTTTAGAGAGATCGGGTATAGTCCCACCTTGGATATACAGTGTAATCCCACCCCACCCAAAGATATGGGATTTCTAGCTAAGCACCTAGGCATTAGGGTGTTCTGTACCCTTTGATGTTTGAGTAAACTCTGATTTCTTCACGGGAATATAGTTTTGGATAGGCCATTGAATTGTAGGGCAGTTGTTCAAATGCATCTGCCAACTCGCAGAACGATCATCATTTTCGTTCTGTTCATGCACATAGGAATCCCCTGGTATAATCCCACCCCTCAAAAATCGAGCCAATTTCGCATTCATGGTGGGGGGGTTGGATTATACCCTGGGAACTACGGTATATGCTACGTATTGTTTTTATTTGATCTGAATTTTTTTGGCATCATTGAATCAAGTTTGTAGGGGAAAAATCACAGCAAACGTGTACACAATTTATGATAAAAATTATGATTAAAATGATCTGCCATAAATATGAATCGTATGGACAGTTCTGCCACATAAATGCCCCCCCCCCTCGATACCTACCATTACAGTACTGTAGGTAATAGTGTACTGACAAATTTGTTTTATGTATGTCACAAAATATCAATGTTTCAACAAACAATGCGTTCCAGCTAACCCCACTCTCCCGTATCTTTTTACACCCAAAGAAAATAAATAAATGCCTCCCTCAAATTAATGCCCACCCCTTCAAAAACCCTTCTCAGCAATAAATGCTGGGGCATTTATTCATATAAATTTTTTTTCATTTATTTATTTGACATCAAACGGTCCAGGGGTTGCGTCATAACACGAATGTGTCCGCAACCCCTGTACATACAGTACAACAGAATATGGTATTTTTATAAGACAATCTGCTTACGGTATTAACAATAAAATACATAAAAATACAGTTTATTGCATTAGCTATTCATTGTTATATTGTATGCAGTAAGCTTAACTTTTATCCATACCTTTGGTTATACAGTAATAGGTTTTTATGGATTTATTTTGAATTATTGCAATGTCATTCAATTTTATATTAGGCTACTGTATATATTTATTCAGGATAATTTATAATTGGCAGCAAATAGCTAAATTTGATTGAATTACAATAAATACATAAAAAACAGATTATAATAAAATAAATACAGCATTAAAATTGATTTTTATATACAGTAAGCTTAACTTATCCATTATCAAATTATTAATAAATTTCCCTTTTTAATCACAGTTCATAAATCAATTCACAAAAAAAATAATTCAAAAATTGAATTAGATACATTAAATTCACGAACTGTAATGAAATAAATTGTTATTGATGAAAAAGATAGAATTGATGATGCAGTAAGTGTATAAACACAGCGTATATAAAGACAAAAATATATACGGGACTGTATTTGCTTGTGAGGAAAAAAATGATTGGGTTTTTTTGTACAGAATATATATCAAAACAATACATAGACTTCTGGGCTATTGAATGTGTAAACTAAGAATTCAATACAAGATTCATACAATGCACAATACTAATGCACATACAATGCACATACTGTAGCACGTACTGTATGTCGTCCTATGGAATGCATTCCATATGTACAATACACTAGGCAAAGATTTTCTGCTACCACAGATTCCTATCACAGATTGGTTGTGGGAGGGAAAGTGGTACAGGTGGGTGTCGTTCATTTTGAAAAAAAAACTTTTTTGTTATCTAAGGCTAGGCTTACTACTGTCAGCTAATTTCTCAGCTAATTTTTAAAGGTTTTTTTGGAACAACTGTAAAAAAAAACAGAAAGTGGGTTGAAAAATCCGGAAAAATAATGTTTGTGCCTCTGACCATGAAAGTTGTCTTAATAAAATGCCTCCAGCACAAAATTTTATCTGTACATTATAGCCCAGCAGTTTATTTTTTAAATTTTTTTCCCCCTAAAAATGCTTCCGGGACATTCATGATGCCTCCGACCGTCAGTCGCATGGTCGCGCGCTTTTTTTAGCCCTGACACTCAGGACTCTTATTTCATCCTTCATGGAAATTCGTTGCTCGCAAAGGCGACTACAGTATTCTATTTTATCTGGCCTCAATGTGACCAATGGCTTAAATGTCTCATACATTAGTTGACTTTTGATCCCTAACCCATTTCCTGATTACCACATGGAGAATAAAGTCTTTGACAATTGATTTGTCAACATACTGTGCATCCTGGTTTTGGTCTCTGTAGATTTGGTATTAATCAGCAGGTTCAAGTTTAATTTATCAGCAGGAATTCTCATGTACAGTATTTCCTGCTACATTTGTACGACACAGATCCACTGGTCAGACTCAACACTGTTGGATAAAGCTATCTGCTGTAACATTAGGCCTGAGAGCCAGTGTTTTATATTCATCCATTTTGCTTTGTTTTAAATGATAAAAAATCCATAATGTACTGTACGTACACATGGTGTCCTACCCTTGAGTATTTGTTATACAATCTGCATATTCTTCCCAAACTAATTCATTGTAAGTTCCAAACTAACGAGCCTAGTTTTTAGGCCAGGTCGTTGGAGTGATTGAGTAAGCCGGGGTGGATCGTTTACGTCACAGGTGGGCAAGGTACGGTCTGTGGTCCGACAGTTATTTTTTATGTGCCCCAGGAAAATGAATTAAAAACCCTGAGTGCGGTCTGCCAAACATTTTTGACTAGAAAACATCTTGTTTTTTACGTCCCTACACCGATCATCTGTTAAAAAGTAAGGTTAAAACTGAGAATAAAGTGATATAAAAGGAGTGCATGAAGGTTTTTGGAAGCACACTATAAACATCAAAGTTTGGGTGTGGCCCGCAGTGTTAAATCGAAAATTTACTTTGGCCCTCCAACCGATTCTTATGCCCACTCCTGGTTTATGTCAAGGGAATTGCTCAATTGACTTGTATATTAACACAAACCTTAGATCTTGTGCCAAATTTGAATAATTAATATTTCTTTTTTACAGATTTTAAACAAAGACCATGATAGGAACTGGTTTAAGGCAGAACATGAGGGACGAGAAGGACTTGTGCCAAAAAATTACATCACTATGAAATGTCATGAGTGAGTTTGATTTCTGTGCTTAAAGTGAATAGAAAGTTTAAAATACTCTTGTAATGGCATCATATACAATAAGTATTTGCTTTCAGCAGTATTATGATGATTAGGATTGTTAACATGGTGATCGGTGATGGTTTCCAACCAGAACTGACAGGCGACTGACCACCAGTCGCATACCATATCTAGGAGTCTTAAAATTGGAGGCTGATGAGGGGCGCGAAGGTCACATGGGAGGGACTCGATGATTAGGTGAAGGGCGCTACAGTAGCTAGCAAAATAAGGTGATTTTTAACTACTTGAGCGTGGTTTTTGGGGGTGACTGGGGAGGGGGGCGTGATTATTTGGGATGGGGATTGTTCCCACCGCACACTTTCTTAAATTTGCCACTGCTGACCACTACACTCCACATGTGACATAGCATTTATAAGCAGACAATCCTACAGTAGTATGATCAGCTCAAGTTGGTTGGTCTACCCCCACAAAATACAAATAGTATTGCTAAAAAAGAACATACAACTGCTAATCCAAGGACCTTCAATTACAATAATAATAAATAATGACTATACTGTAATAACATTGATAAATAATAAGAGAAATGTAATAGCCTAATGAATAATAATAATTAATAGGCTAATAATAGTAAACATCAAAAATTTATATGCTATAAGTATTATAGCCTAATAACTGTTAAATTTAATAAAAAATAATTATTATAAATAATAATTATTAACAATAACAATTTAAAATTCATTTCCAGGCATTTTAGATGATCTGCTTTTTCAAGAACCTTACGGGGGCAGGGTCCAGGGGGGGGGGGGCTGAGCGACTGTACTGTAGGATTGTAGCTTGTCCTAAAAAAAATTGAAAATAAAGCAGGAAATGCAATAATAAAAACAAAGCTTTAAGATTACCGGAAAAAGGCCTGCCGTAGCTAAGGTAAACAGAGTACTTTCCACAAATTCTAAATCCTGGTTTCCTGGAAATTGCTACACTGGTGCTACTGTGTTTTAGTGCAATCGTTGTATTGTATACAGTAGAACTCCTCGACGCAATCAGGGAATCACATGGCTATCAAAGCTATCAGGTTTCTCATTCAAGCAGTAAATCATCATATTGACCACCATCATGAATGTAATATTCTGTTTCACAGCTGATTTAAAACCAGCAAAATGAAAATACTAAAAACCACTGTACTGTGCCCCCCTCAAATTCGAGACCCCTCTAATTCCGAGACCCCTCTAATCCGAGACTAATTTTTCAAAGAACAAATTACAATCATCAATCTTTTAACACAAAGCGACCCTCAAAGTGGTTTCCAGTTGGAGGGCAAACTGTGCAGTAAATTACTTTACTTTTTACTCAACAGTTGGTATTACGGCAAGATACCTCGTTCAAAAGCTGAAGAAATCCTCGGTGCAGATCAGTTTGTTAACGGCCATTTTTTGGTACGAGAAAGCGAAAGCAGCCCTGGAGAATTCTCGCTTTCAGTAAAGTAAGTGCCAGTATACCCACAAATTTTACATTGTGTGGATCTCTGGATACGGAAGAATTAAAAGTTATACTATCTGAAATAAAAACATTGAATATTTTTAACTTAAAATATTTGAATAATTTTCTCTTTGCAAGTGCAGGTTAGTACAGTGTGCATTACAGCATCTATAGTACCAGCTTATTTTACAATTTAAGCTTATTTTTGTTTATATAAATTTAATTATATAATAGTAATCATTGGTATGTACCTATCCAAACCTACTAGTGCTGAAGGTGCCTATGGTATCAAGAATAAATAAATATATAATAATTCATTTTGATGGTGGTCAAGCATTCACTGTAAAGTAGTTTTTAGCCCTTGTCACAATAAACTTTTCCATTCTGTAATATATACACTGTATGTACTTTTTTGTTTCTACTAGATATGGGGATAAAGTTCAACATTTTAAAGTGTTACGAGATGGAGCTGGGAAGTACTTCCTGTGGGTTGTCAAATTCAATTCTCTAAATGAGCTTATTCAGTACCACCGAAACTCGTCAGTCAGTCGGACACAAACAATACATTTAAAAGATATGAGGCGAACAGTAAGAAAAATTTATATTTATCTTTATCGTGTAAAAGTATACAGTGAACCATCTGTAATGTGTGTGGTCCTCATTCTCTATGCTTATATGTCATTTTGCACTGACATATTAGTAGAAAATCCATATATTTTATTCTGTTTCTTTCATCCCATTTATAAGTCTAATGGGTAGTGTTACCTTGGTAAAATTGATATTTAGCAATAAAATTGATATTTAGCAATAGGTTAACTGGAGTGTGAATGTAAAATACAACTACATTTTTGATAGATTTTATATTCTTTTTTTATATATTTTTTTAATCCTATTTTAATCCTATTTTTTATTGAGTTATTAATTAATGCATTGTTTTTTCATTGTACATAAATTATTGATTGATTATTCACAGTATATTTAAATGTATAGCAGTGCACTCTCTTTATATTTTTTTTGTTTTGTTTTTGTGATTGTTGTATGTTTTTACATGAGGACGCCATGATTGTCAGCATACCATTGTTTTGGGTCACCCTCAGTAAATAGAGTGCCATAAGTACTGTAATACACATAATATGTGTAACTTTTCTATTGCAGATATGCAGAGTCAAAGCCATGTTTGACTTTGTCCCACAAGAAGATGGAGAATTGAGCTTTAACTTGGGCGACGTCATCGATGTTTTAGACGATTCGGATGCTAACTGGTGGAGAGGTTGTCTGAATGGAAAAGAAGGAATGTTCCCGACACCTTACGTGCAAAAATGTAATTAAGAATTGAAACTGGTACACAGTTGTGGTGCCAAGAACAAATGCATAGTGTCATAACACCAATTTTTTTTTCTTTATAGTGTGCCAAATTTATACAACACAATGCATAGATAATCAAAATTTACAATCACATGGTCTTCTATCTAAAGTTTTATCGCGAGTCACAATCATATTGAATAATGCTAAATATTACTTCTATTTTCCTTTTTAAGACTATGATTAGATTCAAGGTTTGTATTTTAAAATAAACATTTTCATTATATATGTCTGGTTTGGTATGTACAGTACCTATGAATGATCAATATTACTTTTAATCAGGAGTCTAAAAAGATCATAATTTTTGCCATTTATATTTTTTTTTTGTCTTATGTGTGTGTAGTAGTAATCAGAGAATCATGTAAGGGCACCTGATTTTTATAAAGCATCGTGTCATAACACAAATTTTGTTTTCTTTTTAGTGTGCCAAATTTATACAGTACAATGTGTAGATAATCTAAATTTACAGTCAGATGATCTTCTTCCTGAAGTGTTTATCATGAGTAAATCATTGAATATCGCTTAATAATAATATTACTTCTATTTTCCTTTTTAAGACTATGGATAATTATAAGAGTCAAGGTTTACTATTTGAAGTAAGCATTTTCATTATAATGTCTGGTTTGGTATGCACCTGTGAATGATAAATATTATTTTTAATCAGTAGTCTATAAAGATTTTAATTTTTTGCCATTTATATATTTTTTTGTCTTTATGTGTGTGTAGTATTAATCAGAGAATCATGTAAGGGGACCCGATTTTTATAAAGAATCATGACTTTTAATACCAATGAATTACAGTAGGCGAGACTTTTTTATATTTTGTTTTGTGAACTTATTTTTTTACAGATCGTCTGAGAAAGGTGGGGAAAAAATGTTAAAGAATTTAATTTTTCTCAATGCTTTAAATTGATATAATTAGGAAGAAACATACTATCTTATTTTTGGAGATTTCAATGCAGAGGCGGGCAAAATAAAAGTTACATTTTAAAAAAAAATTTTCATTTATTTTAATGGCGGCTGGTGTGCTATTTGGCCAGAAATATAAAATTGAATTTTTATCCGAAATCATCATTATTGGCGGGTGGTGGGTTCGCTAAACGAGGTATAAAAAATTCTTGCCTGATGGAATGTGATATTCTAGACAGTAAATCATTGATTGATATACCTACAGCTGCTTCTGTTTCTTCCCAATAAATGTCGGCGTTTTCTAAAAATTTGCAATTTGTACATAATAGTTTCTGTTTAATAGCAAACGTAGCAATTATTGACTATGTCTTTAGGGGGGTAGGGTGAGGGTATGAAGGATGTTGGATGTGGGGGTGAAGATTGTGTATGATTTCATAGACAAAATACCACAAGATTGCTCATATTAATGGACTCTTTTACAAGAATAAATATTTTACAATGTGATATTGTACAAGATTAAATTGACCGTAAATATACTTAATGTAAAAGTACATGGTTACAAAAATTAATGGTTTTATAAATATGTTTATTGTTACCTTTTCTTTTTTTGCTTTTACATTGAATCGGCCATAGAAGGCGCATGTATAAATGCCTAACTCTGCATGCAGTGTCATGGAAAAGGAATGAATGTATTAGTATTTTAAGAATTATGTACTGAAATTGAAACAAATTAAAAATTCTTCTTTTCTTTTGCTGCGAAAGTGCTGCTTGGGATTGTTCATTCAACAATTAATAACTGTGCCAAATCTTCAGGGATTTTGTATTTTTTATTTATCTATTGTCTACCATCTGTTTTGTATGATGTTGTGTAAATTCATTTTGATAAAAACTTGTTTTAATAGTGTTGAATTTTAAATCTAAAATCTAATTTTTTTTTTTTCACAATAGTTCTTCGACAAACCCACAATTGCAAAAAAATAGCTTGTGTTGCCCAAGCATTATCAACCCAAAGTCTCAAAAATTCAGTGTTGATTTTTTCTTCTTTTTTTAGTCAAAATAAATTGTTCTTCCCAAGAAGCCCAAAATGACTGAATGATTTATGAAGTGGGCATGTTTTAAGTTTTAGTAATGTATTGTTATGCCTAATCCATGGGTTTTAGTCCAGTTTTATCAGTAAAAAGTCTTAGGGTGAGTGAAGGACTGCCTGAGTTTCTGTAAATCTTTGATAGATTCAAAATTGAAAGGTTTGACAGTATAAAATTTGTTGCTTTTGAAAATTGCTCTAGATAATCGTGTAAAAAAAACAAATCACAAAATGCAGCATACTGTACAATAATAATTAAATACTTACTGTATTGTGGACTTAACTGATCATGTCTTTTTCTTTGGCACAATATATATCTTCCAGAAATTAACCAAATCTCCCGTAAATTTATAATATTTGCATGTTTTTACTAATTTATTATCAATTGTCTCAAGGAAATTGGTGCGAATGTTTATTACCGCACGCAGTAAATACAATTAGACATGTTGGAAAGCTGATTTAACCAAATCTCCCGGGCAGTGACTTATGCCAAATTGGGTCCCTTGAATACTGTAATCTAATCCTCTATTGGAAAATGTACACTACAATCATTAGAAGCAAGATAATTCATTCTTCTATCGAAGATTGATTAATTATATAATTGAACTTTTAGTACCATCAACCAAATAATCAGTCAATATCAGTATAAACAACAATAATCGGGTAGATCTAAAGAAAAATCTGGTTAGAGGCCATGCAACGTACAAAGCAGGGGGGGTGTGTGTATGTTTATGGAATTTTTATTTAGAAATGCTTGACCATAGAGAGAAGTACATGATATTTAAATCAACAATTAGTTTGTTTTGGAATACTGTACTGTGCTCCCCTTTATTTTCTTTTCTCTGTTTTTAAAAATTTTTTTTTATTTGAGGGAGGTGCAGTTGGGCCTGGCCCATGCCACCCCTCCCCCCCCCCATTCTGCCTCTGATATTGTACTAACACATTAATAAGGTGTGTATAAATTAGAAACACTGTTTATATTGTATTATTTTTTCTATTTTCCTTTTACATATGGTAAAATTTTTTATTTGCAGTTAAAAACTGAATACTAATTTTAGTATAGTGTAGACTAAAGCCTCATTCACTCTGAATCCAAATTTTTAATATCAAATGCCTACCGAACCGATCAGAAAATTTAATCGGTGTGTAAGAATAAGGACGCTGGCGTTCAGCGTATCGGAAACACGGTCTGAAGTTCGGGATGTGAATGCAGCTTAAAACTAGATTTACACTAGACACGAAAACGACACGACGATGACATATCATCGCGTAGTTTGTAATCTTCAATACTGCGTGCATCTGTATCATGTCATAGTCTTGTCGTAATCATGTCTAGTGTAAATAGAGCTTAACAGTGAGAGCAAAGTAGCAAAATGATTATGTTAACAGTAAGAATTTATAGTTTTTAATAAATGTAATACCATTTGTAGTGTCATCCATAATACATTTGCTGTAAAAACACGCTTCATGGGATGTGTCAGTAGAATTTTGTTAATATTCTATTTTAAGTAAACAAAACCATGTTAATTTAAGAGAAAATAGTTCATTGCTGTTAAAATTTGTTGCTGTAGGCATGATAAATTAAAGAGTAAATTCTGAATTCTAAATGTAGTGATCATGCCAATCAATGCCGTCGGTCATTGCACTGTATATCGGTGATCGTCAGGATTACCTCTATGCTCCTGTGGTCTAGTATAATCATGCTTGCTATGTTGAAACTCAAAATCACCAAATTATATTCACTTTAACTTGTAAAAAGTTGTTTTCCCGCCTGTAGAAAAGTAGAGTTGATCATTTGGTGTATGCTAAGATGTATAATGTTCTCTCTAGTATTTACTGGACATTTTGTGAGTTACTGTTACTGTACAGTGCTTTTTTAGACATGTTTCTTCTGACATAAGAATGGTTGATTTGAATTTTGTAAATAGATGTTTTAAGATTTCTTCATAAATATATATTTTCAATTTATGTAGTTTTTAAATTGTTCGCATTAATTTTGAGAGTATAATCATAATTGCTTGTGGAATGCATATAGTGGTTGATTTGATTTTTTATTTTTCATCGCATTAATCACAGTTTGTGAATTGTTTAGACACATGTTTGCTAGTAAATAATTAATGAATTATGAATGTTTGATTGAAAACAGGTGCCGAGCATAACAGTACCATTGTCAGGCCCATAGCCAGGGGGGTTTTTTTATGGTTCGGGCAAACCCACCCCCTTTTCTAGCCAATCCCCCTTCCCTTTTCTAACCATCCCCCCCTCTTTTCTAGAGAATTTCACCTCAAAGTTCTCCAACCCAACTAATGCACTGTAGACCCAGACTCAGACATAATGTTTTGCTGCATACCTTATCTGCTTTTATAGCATTAGGCTTAGGGGCTTTTGCTGACCCCAAGTCCAGAGAACCACCCCCGGGAAGAACCTGGCTATGGGCATGATTGTTAAATTCCCGAGTGGAGCTTCCAGGCTTGATTTTATAAACTACCTTTAAGCAATGTTGCCAAGTAGAGCAACCATTGCTGAACCACGTCTTAAACTCTGTCCACACTATGCCCATATATAGTCATGATGTGCCTATATATGGTCGTGGTGTGTCTATATATGGTCATGATGTGATGTCATCATGAACATATTTAGGCAAATTTGATAGTGTGAACAGGGTTTAAGGTTTGTCAAACCAAATAATGGCACCTGGCTTCCAAAAGAATTAAAATACTTTTTTTTTTAAATTACATTGTTTTGAGGCCTCAAGGCATGATTTTGAACAGTGGTTTGCCGCTACTGGATAAAATGAACAGAATTTTGTATAATTTTCAGGATATTAATTTAACCCAATCCTTGGGATTGAAAGGCAGGAATAACAACTCGGATACCACTTTTTTACCACCTTCCTACAAGTAGCATTCCCACCCAGTTGACTTTTACCAACGTCTAAAATGACTACTTTTTAAATCTAGTAGCTATTATTTGTTAGTATTGTGTGTAGCATTTGAATGATCACATAGTGTTCACTAAGTATTATGCTTAATAACAATTTATTACATTTACATATAGTAACATGATACCAATATAGATGTAATGAAATTTGATTTAATGTAGCATATTTACTAGCTTTATTTTTAAGTTTGGTTAAAATTTGTGGAATTATTTCATGATGACGAGAATAAGTCAATTTGTAGTTGAGCTGAGCATGCCCGTATCTGAGGTCAGAGTTGATATAAACAAATGTTGTGTGTACGTTTGTTTATGTATATTGACCTTGATATGAACAGAGCTAAAGAGCAGTTATATTGGCATTTGTGGATTATTAAAATATTTACAATGACATGTGATGTCATTAACAACTTGTGACATCATCACATGACATCATTATGTGATGTCACTACTGATTGATTTCAATGCTATATATAGATGCAGAATCTTATTGTTTAAAATGATTGGATGATTTTCATTTTTATACCCGATTCACACAAGACAAAATTTTACATGCTTAATCTTGCAAGGGCTTCCCTACCAAAATCAATAATGTATTGTCTTCACACGGCGGAATTTAAACCTTGCTTTATGTTGATACTGACATTCAATACACAGCCAGTGATGACACTCACGGTACCACATTGAAGATAAGGCACGTCCTGTTAACATGTGCATAGATCTATGCTTATCTCTTGTAGATAAGGTGCTAATTGAGCTTGTTGCAAAAAGTAAAAGGTTTAGATGGATGCTTCGTATATCCCACCCTACAAATGTAGTGAAATTACACATGAATGAGTGATAATATTTCTTGGGATTTCTTTGGTGGTTTCTGTATGCATAAGAATTGTAACTGTTTATTTACCATTGAACAAAGCTGGAAGCTAAATATGAGTATGTTGTTGTTGATTTATTTCTGTCTTGTTGAGTACAGTATTTAGAATGTTTGCTAATTTCATGTATAAATGACACGATATCACCACCACCAAATTATGATATTTGACATTTGTATCAAGGACTGAATTAAATAGGCTTTTAATATTCCACTAAAAAATTAGTGTGAAATAATTGGTGATTTTTAAGTACTTCAGCATGATTTTTGATTTGAACATTTCTAATTTTTTGCAGGGGGACGATAATGGCCTACTAAGTTAGCCTAAATTTTAGCCAGTTGTCCATGGTCGACAGGCCCGTATATAGAGCTGTGGGAGGGGGAAAACGTATGCATTTTGCAGCACAAAAACAGCTAACATGTATCTGCACACAATCCTGGCACCCCCACTTTAGAATCTTTACTTGTGTGAGTTCAGTAAACAATTTTAAAGGGGGAGGGAACGACCAGGAAGCAAGCTTTTTCTTTAGGAAGACTCCCCGCGCTCCCCTATATCGCCACTGTATGTGTTTCAGTCCTTTAAAGGATCTCACTCAATACTATCTTGTACACCTTAGATATTTATTTAGATAATAATTTACGTGCTAAACATGAGAATACAAAAATAAGTATTTAAACTATTAGCTTCTAATACTGATACAAATAGAATGATTCAGTTAGTAACTTACTACAACCTTCAATCTCTGAATTCATAATTGAATAGGCCTACTCTTAAACCTATGTTTACAAAGTGTGTATATTTCATTCTAACATAATTAATTGAAAACTATTATAATGGTGGGTCTAAAAATACAGCATTGATTAAATTATATAATTGTGTACAACACATTCTACAAAAATGTGGAAATGTCAACTGCACCATACAGCCTCTCAAGGTTCTAGAGTATGTTCTTTTACATATATCGTAGGTTACTTATTGTTAACTCTTTTATTCAAAGAGCATAAAAAACTAGCACTGTTCCATGCATTTTAGTTGCTTGTAAGCAGATTCAAATAAATATAATTTCACTATCACTGTATTCATCTTCTTGTGGATAATGCTGAAACTGTCTCTTATACACATCTAGATGTGTATAAGAGACAGAGTTGGTTGTGTGTGATGCAAATTCAAATTTTGAATTTGTTGTGTAAATTATAAAATCAAATTTCGAACAAGTTTCCAATAATTATCCACTAAGAAACAAAACAGATTCTGATCAAATACATTACTGTAAATATTATTTCTATCTATAACTAAATTATCTGATAAGTGAGGTATTATAAATATATAATTAGTTAAATTAGTTCATCTTAAAAATGCTTCCTACGGTAAGAAACTTATTTTTGGACCTATGCTTGATATAACCACAACACCATTTGTTCCCTTATTTGAATACAATTCTTTATATCACTCACTTAATTACCGATTTGTTTACCGTACGTAGAGTACTATAAAACCTTGAAGTGAAGCCCTGGGCTTCTTTTTTTTTTGCAAATTTTGGATGGGCTTCATTTCGAGGCTACTTTTGCAAAGTAAAGAGGAGGCCTCTTCTCAAAATGAATGCTGTAAATTTTGGGAATTCCTACTATAAAACAATAAATAGGGCCACTATAACATCAATCTGTGTCATGGAGTGTATTAACCCAGAATTAAATCACCTAAAGTGCTGTATAAACCAAGCATTTTAAACTTGTTTTTGTTTCCTTGAAATTCATGTACAGTGTATGTACTGTACTATCTCGAAAAAAAAGGCAATGCAAAGCCAAGCCCATGGGCTTCTTTTCGAGGCAACTTTTGCAAACCAAAGAGGGGGCTTTAATTCAAGATGGGGGGAGGCTTCTCGAGATTAAGCCCATTGGGCTTCAATTCGAGGTTTTACGGTATATGCTTAAAGTGCTACGTGGCAAGCGAAGTGTCTTTAGAGATTCTGTCATATGCAGTTGCAGTGTGATGAGAACTAGTGTTTTTATGCACACGTGAAAGAGTGAAAACATTTGTTACCTCCACACATATAACATTCAACAATTACAATTACTGTATATACTCTAGTTCCTCATGTTCACCTCCGTTATAAGCTAATCCTAATTTGCACCAAATTTAATGTACCACGCATTTCCCATGAATCTTGGCTGAATGTCAAAATAAATGTCAACATATCAAGGATTTGTAAAGCGGCAATATCCACAGCAGAATACAATGTTCAGTGGCGTTATGTTAGGTAGTTTTCGCCACACGACGTTAAACTTAACGTTAACAGATGACGTCATAATTTATTCATCTTGCATTGCGGAGTACGTTAATTTCAGGATTTAACGTGCTCGATGTACGTTAGTTACGGGTTTGCTCATGCGTATTTCAATTTGTTTACATAAAGGGCGCAGCTAGCTATTGCGTTGCATGTTAGGTACTAATGTTAAAGTTAAGGTTAATGTCGTGTGGTGAAAACTAACTGTTGTTGGTTAATAGACCTTTACGTTAAACTAACTGTTGTTGGTTAATAGACCTTTCCGTTAAGGCCCTGCCCCTTAATATTGTTGATAAGGTCCCACAAAATGGTAATGTAAAAACATACGCTGACACACGCGTTTGTGCAACAACACGTGTGTTTGTTAGACATGCGCATATACATGGCTCTGCTCTGATTGGTCACTTGTTGAGTTTGACCATCCTTACAAATTACAGGCCAAGATGTCAATTTCTGTCTCTCCCCCCACACCAATAATCGCATCATCTCCCCTCCCCTTCCCAAGATACTACACCATTGAGTGTTTCAGCAAAGCTACAGTACAGAATTACCAATTACCACAAGTTTGAATAGAGGTCTGTCTCCAACATTAATAACAATATATACATAGTGTATAACAGAGTTTAATGTATGAGTATTAAATTAGTAGAATATTGTAGCAGTAGCATTTAAGCTAAAACAGTACAGTAGCTTATAGGTATATTAACTACCACTACCAGTGTACTTCTTCACTTGAACATTATAATGTAACGTAACAGTCTTGAAATTAAACATTCTCCAAGTATCAGTTTGTAACAGGCTTGACGTATGGAGCTGGGAACATTCCTTCCTTGCCATCTAGTCGGCCCCTCCACCAATTTTTATCCGACTTGTCCAAAACTTCTATTAACTGCCCTTTGTTCATACTCAATTCTCCTTCATCCTGGGCAGTGAAATCAAAACAGGCTTCCACCCTCTCCTGTTTATAAATACAAGAACATCAATTAAATTGTGAAGAATGATAGCGACAAAAACGTTGATTTGAATATTATTTTTTCTATAGTTTTGGTGACTCTAATAGTAACACCATGGGAAAGAAAGAGGACAAAAAAGCGAAAATACAAATTAAGCATTTGACATATAAACTAGATTTAAATTCGTCACTGACGAATTATGTGATACGCAGGACCCAAGAGTTTTGCACAGTAAAATGACCGAAAATTTGTGACTACAGTGTCAGAAACCCAAAATAGGTAAACAAAAATGTATTTTATATTTTCCGTATGTGCTGTGTGCGTGGTGCGAAAAATTGAAATGCTCAAAATTGCCTAAAACATGCTCTAATTTAAAGCAAAAAGACAGTAACTCCGAAAAGAGACAGACATTTTGAGATTCAATTGCTCTAATTTAATAAAAACATGATTTTTGAGCATTTAAAAATTATAACGCATGCATATGCGCACGTTGACCCTTGATATGAAGTATACTTGTGTCAAGTTTCATTGAAAAATGCCTCTTTGTAAGGAATTTACAATCAATCATAGAATTTCACAAAATGGCACGTAGATGACGTAATGTGACTGTAACGTCACCAAATAAAAGTTAAAACTTCAGATGTACATATATATCCTGGCCACATAACAAGGATAGAGCCAGTTTTTGAGAACAGCCACAAACAAAAAAGTTGAGAAAGAATAAAAGAGAAATAAATAAATAAAAATCTTAAGAAAAACAATAGGTAATATGCTAGAGAAGTGCATCACCTAATAACATTTCTACAAAATAGCAATCACTAAATCTAACAGAAAAGTATATTAAAACAATTTTTTTATTACAAATTAGAGATTTCTTCTTTTACCTTTGATACCAACATGTCTTTTATATAAATGGTTTGGGTTCTGCTGACTGAGGACGTACGATGATAATCAACTAGTTGATTCAATGAGTTAAATTTCACAACCCATAGGAAGTACTTGCCAGCACCATCGCGCAATACCTTGAAGTGTTGGATTTGATTTTGAAACCTGCAGGAGTAATATTTTGTAAGATATCTTGATGTTTATTTTGTTTTATTCAACTTTATTTACCAAGAGTGACCCAAAGCAGCAGTATGCTGACGAATATGGCCCTCACGTAAAAACATACAACAATCACAATATTAATACAGAAAAATATAAAAAGAGAATGATATAATTAAAAATATATGATTTATCAATCAATAATTTATGTACAATAAAAAAACAATACATAACTAGCTCAATAAAAAAATAAGATTTAAAAAAAATATCACATCTATCAAAAGTTTGGAATTAAATAGTAATTTAGAAAAATATACAAAAAATTTTATCTATAAAAATCAATACAAATATATCTAAGAACATGCCTGGTTTAAACAGTAGTATAGGTGATTAAATGCTAGTCAATACACTCCATGATACAGACTGATGTTACAGTGGCCTTATGCATTGTTTTATAGAGTAATTCCCAAAATTTACAGCATTCATTTTGAAAAGAAGCCCCACTTTACTTTACAACTTTGCAAAAGTAGTTTCGAAAAGAAGCCCATCTCAAAAAGAATCCCATCTCAAAAAGAGTCCACCCTAAAGTCACATGTTTTTGTCAAATAAAATTACATAGTGTGGATAATGCTGAAAGCTTAATATGTAGCCCTTTAGACTCACTTTACAGAAAGAGAAAAATCGCCAGGTGTACTCTCGCTTTCCCTAATCAAAAACGCGCCGTCTATATTCTGTTTCATCAACAGCCTCTCAGCATCCGCCCGAGACAGTTTCCCATGGAACCACCTATGGATTAACAAAAAATGGGAATACAATTACTGCAAGTGTTCCCTTCATAAAAATACCTTTAACAAAATTGGCAGTTTTCATTTCCTTATCCCTTAGTCGACGATTGTTCCCTGTGGTGTTTAGAACAGTATAAATTAAATGCCAGATGTTTCACCTGACTTGGCAGAGACTCCTACACAACCAGCTTAACTCCATCGTCATCTCTAGGTTGTCTATTCTCCTGTGTCACAACGGTGCTACTCAGGCATTTCATCTGGCTTGGCAGAGATCCCTACACAAACCAGCTTAACTCCATCGTCATCTTGCAGTGATCTCTAGGTTGTCTATCTCCCCGAGTCACACCGGTGCTACACAAATTTTTCTCCTGTCTTGGCGGTGTAAAAATGCGAACAGTCAATCTTTCCATGTTGCACTCATAAACATTCATTATTTGTATACTACCAAAGATTTTAGGGAGGGAAGAGAGCACAGGTTTGTTTGAAAATACATTACATTCCTAGTTACATCATGGAAGCACACCCTCTATG